CCCTAACCCTAACCCTAACCCTAACCCTAACCCTAACCCTAACCCTAACCCTAACCCTAACCCTAACCCTAACCCTAACCCTAACCCTAACCCGTAAAAAATAATTACATATATAAGAAACTTATTAACGAATATTTCGTTCTTTTTCTTTTTTAAGATTTATTTTATTAATAAAACTGCATCCGCTTTATCGGTCATATAAAAAGATAAAATATTATCGTTTATTTATTTATACTTTACGAAGCTTTCTAATTTAAAGTCTTATAAAGGTAATTATAATCGCTGTAACGCTTTTAATAAAGTTATTAACATATAGAAAACAAATTAAAACACTATTAATTAAATAATAACATAAACTTTTAATAACGAGTATAGCCCGGCTAAAGAAGATATATAGCTTAATAAGCAAGCCGTTACACTAAACAGCATTACTCTTATAAACGCTTAAAGCTATTACAACTAATAATTAATAAAGTGATACAAGTAAAACTATAACTTCGTTAATAAATTTTAACTATATTATTAACGCCGCGGGAAAGGGGCGTAGTAAGCTGTACTATTAATAATTATTAATAATTACTTACTTATAATTACTGTTATATAATAGCTATAAGTACTAACATAATATAATAATTATAATATATCGCCTTTTGGAAAGCATTTATACAGCCTTCTAATTAACCTAAGTATTTATTTAAAAGTAAGTAATATGCGGTCGACTATAAACAATAACGACGAAATACCTTTAACCCGGATACCCGACTATGTAAAAAGCAGATGATCAGGTAAGGGAGAGGGAATTACCCGCTAGTTCGTTCACATTCTTTTAAGAATTAACGGGTAAGTAAATTTAATACTCAGCCTGTTAACTCCTATCACACGAGGCCGGCCTTCGGGTAACATAAAAGCCCGAACTTTCACTTAACGCCCCTAACTACAGCTTATCTTCGAGCCATAACAGGTATTTTAGGGATAAAATAAAATAAAGAAAATTTATTATCTTAATAACAATGTACTTAATAAGAACGTTCAAAGTGTTATACCACGACGAACTTCTTGATTCGCCCACCATAATCCTATCAAATATGCCGAACAAGTTCGGATATACTGCGCTAAATATGGTTACCTGTTCTTTTCGCTACTACTAAGTACCTAAACTTTATAATATAAAGTTAATGTCCAGTAAAAGCATTACTTAAATTGTTCAGTTAACGAAAGCTAGCATACTTCTTACCCAGAGTTATTACGTTCTAAACCATTCTTCATTTTGCTGTTAATTTCAAACTGTACTTCCTACTACTTAGAATCTTTCTTATCTACGGTATCCCATACGCTCAACGTCGAACTTTGGGATTCCTTCGAATTTGTTGAACCTAAATCAATTAATTTTTGGTCGCTGCTCACATCCTTTATTGGCATAACCTTTGCTATTAACACACTAATTACCACTGGACTCTTAGTCCTTTCTCTAAGGTCCTCGTCTTCTTCGCTACCGACGACGAAAACTTCTTTATTATCTTGAAGTGGGTAGATAATATTCCTTTAACAGGTATGTGCCGGCTGCGGAGGTATAAGAAAACGATACGATGTTCCCGTTGGTGCCGCCCGATGCATATCTCTCCAGTCCCGCAGCTCTTGCTCCCAAGCATCCGACGAGGTTTGCGGGAAAGGAGGAGTGGGATGCCCTCTATCCGTCACGCCAGATGTTTGGAGGTTCCTCCGACGAGAACTCATCCGTTGAAACACGCCTAACACTAGGATTGAAATAAGGATCAAGAAGACAATACTTCTAATAATAATATAAGTAACGAAGTTCCTGTGATATTTGTCGTTTCGTTAAGATAATTGAGAAGAGCTATATTTCGATACGCTAACCGCTATTGCTGCTGCTCCTTCTTCATTGGTTAACCACTTAGGGATGACAAACGCGTTTTTGCCGTACGATTGAAACAGGGTGAAAGGAGCCATGTCAATGTATTTTTTAATTAGTAAATAAAGCTGCGAAACACCTATAAGCTGAACGAGCAGTGTTTCTTTTCTACGAGCTCATCTTAAGCCTTCAGCGCCTTATATCATACGCCATAAACAATATCATTATTACGGACAGGATAATCAATCGCGCGTAAGTTATTAGATTGTTCTCGTTGACATTGTTGAAAGGAAATGTTGTTCTTTATCCACTCCGGTGAGATGGTACATGTTCATTCAATTATGTCTTACTCGCAAGGTCTAATCCTGCTCTTTGTGTTAGATGGCTTCCGTCTGGAGGTACCTTACAGACCTATCAAGTCTTTAAATCCGTATACGGAAAATGAAGACTTCACGCGGTCCGAAAAAGGTGGCTACAACGTTAGTTCTCGCTAATTTGCCCCGTATCTTACTGGACACCACTTTACATTTCTGCGCCTCCTAGGCCGATGACTATTTTCAGGCCGGATGAGTCATTTCGAACTTGCTGCGGCACGGCAACTTGTATATAAAGCTTGATTGAAAAATGCAAGCCTGATATACACAATGATGAAACGAGAAGGCTCAAACGCTTAAGGGATATATCACATTCTAAGAAGCATCAAGATGGAAGGTCCTTGGGCTTTCGTAGAAACTACGCTTCCGCACATGCCGCTCCCACCAATTTCTCACCGCAAACCAATTCGAACGGAACGACTACTCATTCGGCCGCTGCAGGAGGATGACCTCCAAGCATACCACGAGTTGCGCCTGCAGCCGGAAGTGATGGCCAACAGTAGGAAGGGCAGGCCTGATCGCGATGTGGAAGAGACTCGCTTAGGGTTGAATGACTTTTTGCCGCCGCGCAGCGACGAGACGTTCTTATTGGGAGTCTTCCTTCCTTCGACGGGCGAACTGATCGGAGAGGGTGGAATTCATACGCTGGAGTCTTCGTCCTGCGGTTGGCCTGAGATTGGGTACCGATTTAAACGGGAGGTTTGGGGTCGGGGCTACGCAACAGAATTCCTCAAGGCGTTGCTCGAAGCCTGGTGGGATTTGCCCAGACATCGCACTCGACTTCGCGTCCATTCATCATCTATTCGGAAGGGTAAAGAGGTGGAGGCTGTGGAACAGGTTCACGCCCTTACGGATTTACAGAACATCGGGAGTCAAAAGGTCCTGGCGAAACTTGGGTTCGTAGAGTTCTCGGAATATACGGAACCAGATACCCAAGAGCATAGGCTCGGCCAGCCGGTGACGTTGAAGGGGTATATGCTTTCTTTTCCAGGGGATAAAACGGGAGTTTGAGCTAAGAATTAGTCGTATTGACAAATACTTGAGGTATGGAAAACGATGGTAATAATACGAGCAATATTAAGTTATGATATGCAGACGAGTAGCGGATACGGTTGAATATCACACGTGTGACACTCGAATCGATTTAATTAGATCTCGGAAATAATCGAAATGATATTTTAGCAAAACATTTACGTACCTTGGCAGAGAAGCACGATAGACCCCTTTTCCTCGTTTTCGGGAGTCACATCCCCGGACCGTTATATCCAGGTCTGATGGCTGTATGCGGTTACAATTGGTATAACTCCGCGTCGGTCTCGAGCGGGGTCTGCCCAATGCGAGCTTCGGGATGTGCTGCTTCGCTGCAAGAGAGACACCGTGCGCGTCCGAGATAGGAGCTCTGGCTGGAAGAAGCTCGAGGTCGCAGCTGGTATGGGATGTTGGCTATAAGCTTACTCCAAAACTTCCAACACTCAGTTGTCGTATTAAACACGCTTCTCCCCGCTACCAGAAGGCACTTCGAGGACCGCTTTCGCTCCCGTCCTCTCGTTCCAAAATGCCTAGGGTGATAGACCATATTACAAACTTCATCCGCCCGCACAGATCGCAAGATTCTACTTCTCCGCTTTCGCCTAGATCAGACTCGGGAATCAGTCTATCAAGATCGCCACCATCTCCCACTTCGTTTAGTCGCGCATGGGATTGGCTTGAGAAACGGTTAGCACCAGCATACAACCGGCCCACGTTGTCCAACTCGGAACGTTCCCCAGAAACTTGTAGTAACCAAGACTGGAATTTCTATACGCCATCGCCACGACCGAATAGGTCTAACCCTGATTCGCCTCAACCTTCATCGAGAATCTGGAAGAGAGGAGATATAAAAAGATCAAGAGAAGGGGCTTCGTTATTATCTCCTACCCAAGATAGGCTTGACAATCTGGAATCGCGCCGAATACTAAGCCGGCCAACAGCGGCCCGAGCGGCTCGAGACGCTCAGCAGCGGCGAGTCCTAGAGGTTCTCTCTATAGTAAAGCAGTTGAAAAACGAAGAGTACTCGACGGATGACATTCTGATAGTAAAGGAGTTATCAGAGTCGGACTTCGCGGTGCTAATTGATAGGCTGGAAACTGGAGATGAAGAGCTGAAAAGGTATTTCGAGCACGATCTGTGGTAGGTGAATCTCGAGTTTAGTCTCGCCCTTGTTTTGACGATGCTATAGTTATGACTATCCCTATCGCATTGGAAGAATAGATCATATTGTCTTTCGCATGAATTCAAAGCTCCACGAACACGTATCTAGGAAAATTCATAGGAGGCTAGCGAATTGGATAGATGAGCTCAAGAGGGACAATACTAATCCGGACGGGATCCTGAGTAAAGCGTACTACGAAACAGGGTCGGCTAGGATCTGCTTCAAACGGACACCTCATGGGAAAAGCCCGGATGAGAGCATTCAATTTGATGGCTGCGAATATCCAGGACTGCTCATAGAAATTTCTTGGTCGCAAAAGGTGAAGGAGTTGCCAAAGCGGGCAAAGGAATTTATAACCAAAACTAAAGGCGGTGTCAGGACTGTGATCTGTATCGACGTGAACGATACTTACGAAAAGCGGCGAAAGAAGATGGCAGGGGAAGCCAAACTCTCGGTATGGAGGGCAAATTGGACCTCGGATAACAAGCTGAGAGTCGAGATGAGCGTGAATAATGAAGTATGTTGCCCAGTTCTAGGTAGGAGTTTGATGTTTATAGGGGCACTTTATTCTAAGCTATAAGCAGGTGTTCCAAGATGAACAGGGGCAGCTCAACCCTTCCGCCGGCGGATTGCGCCTTACGCTCGAGGACTTCGTCTGCAGAAAGGCCGCGGCCGAGATCGATGTTGACGATCCGCATCTCGTTGTCGAGGCTAAGGAGCTTTACCAGTGGGTTCAAGAAGGACTAGCCGCCCTGAATATTCCGCCTCCTGAATCATCGGCCGGACAAAGTGAGGCCTCGGATCAGCAAGCTCTCCCTGCCTCGCCTCCGGATTCCCGCGCGGAGGGCGAAGGGTCGTCTCGAGACTTAGCATTTACCCCAAACCAACCAGCGAATTCGATTTCTCGCAGCTTTTTACCACCACGTCAAGAACCGACTGAGCCTGAAGTGAGAAGACCACTACGTAGGTCTCGCAGGCTTGCGGCCCTCTTCAAGAGGTGAAGTTAGTGGGCCTATTGATTGATGAGCGCGTAGGCCATTGATTTTGAATTTGGGAATAGATTTAGGAAGCGATAAAGATGCGTACCTACCTAGGTACCTGCCTATCACACGCAAGCGCATCAAAATAGGACGCGAGAACACCTTGGGAGGAGGCCGGTGAAGTGCTTACGTTTTATGTAATATACGGACGACTGTTAGAGCCTTTGAAGATCATTACAGTTAATATGGCGATAACGTCTGAGATATATAGGCACCTACTTGTATAGGTACCAAGGTAACTTACCTTGTTTTATTCAACCTCGATAAATTTTATGTCAAAACTAAACTAATAAGTGGGTTGGAAGGACTTCGTTTTGAGCTTCATGTTTGCTTTCGCAACTAACTCGAAAAGTCTAAATAGGCGACACCTACCTAGGTACCTACCTAGTAACTTGGCGTGTAACTTTAGGTACAATACCAGGTACAATACCTACCTAGAGGGTACCTTAGGTACCTACCTACCCAAGTTAGGTTCCAGTTAGAGGTACCTAACTTCACCACAATATCGGGAAAGTTACCCCGTATAATGCGCTAACGGATAGTCGCGCAATGCCTGCGGGATCTGACGTAGGGAGCCCCTCCATCCCTCCCATCTTATAAAGTCGCAAAAATACGCCAGGCCTTTACTTACTGCTTCGTTACCCGGAGAAGTTACAATTACCTACCTGGCCCTACGTTAGATATTTTTTACTTTTTCTTGAGATATTCCTCGCCAGTCCAGACAATTCGTTTCCGATACATCCGACGTCATTAGGTACCTAGGTAGGTAGGTATGTCCAGTGCCGTTAACAGAGGTATTTAACTAAATATATTCGTCTGGCTGAGTTCTTATTGAATAGATCCACGACCTCCCCAACCGACTTACCTCGGGATTCCTACGCTCATACGTCACTCACGATGTTCGATGATATATCTCCGTAGTCATGGTCGTCAGAATGGTCCTCCGGGGTACCGCCCCTTGCCCGGCCTGCCTCGGCTTGAACCGACCCCAATTGAATCCGCGGCTTGCGCCGTCGCGTGTATTCCCTACGTCGCACTGTTCCTCGCGGAAGTCTCACATCTTCAATCGAACCTGGAAAACGCAACCGGGTATAGCCAAGTTCAGTTCGAATGCCTCCAAGAAGCCCGCCACGACGCAGAAAGATCCTCTTGCTGCGGTCGACAAAAGCGCGCAGGAACAACGGAAGGCGGATTGGGCGATAATGAGAGAGATGGCGCATTACTTGTGGCCGAAGGATAACGTGGGCACGAAGCTACGTGTGTCGTTAGCCGTCGCGCTTCTAGTCGGAGCCAAGGTGCTAAATGTTCAGGTGCCCTTCTACTTCAAGAGCATTGTGGATGCTATGAATATTGACGTAGGGGAGACGGGTGGCACCGCCGCTATGATTGCGGGAAGCATGATATTAGCTTATGGCGCGACGAGAATAGGAGCTACCGTGTTCCAAGAGCTGCGAAACGCCGTGTTCGCTTCAGTGGCGCAGAAAGCCATACGGAGGGTTGCCCGCAACGTCTTTGACCATTTACTTCGCTTAGATCTAAACTTCCATCTCACCAAGCAGACCGGTGGCCTGACGAGGGCCATTGATCGGGGTACTAAGGGCATCAGCTTCCTACTCACCAGTATGGTCTTCCATATCTTCCCTACGGCTTTGGAGATTGGTATGGTGTGCGGAATCCTGACTTGGCAGTACGGAGCGAAATACGCTGCCATCACGGCCGTTACGATGACCGCGTATACTGCTTTTACGATCTGGACCACCTCTTGGAGAACCAAATTCCGGAGGCAGGCTAACGCTGCGGATAACAAGGCCTCGACGGTAGCTGTCGACTCTCTGATAAACTACGAGGCCGTTAAATATTTCAACAACGAGAAGTTTGAAGTTTCTAGGTATGACAAGGCGCTTCGGGAATACGAGAAGAGCTCTATCAAAGTTGCGACTTCGTTGGCATTGCTCAACAGCGGCCAGAATATTATCTTCTCCAGCGCCCTAACAGCTATGATGTACCTCGCCGCCAATGGTGTAGCAAGCGGTTCTCTGACTGTTGGCGATCTCGTCATGGTCAACCAGCTCGTCTTCCAGCTTTCCGTCCCGTTGAACTTTCTAGGGTCGGTTTACCGAGAGCTTAGGCAATCCCTTCTTGACATGGAGACTCTTTTCAACTTACAAAAGGTCAACGTTACCGTCAAGGAGCTCCCCGACGCGAAGCCGCTCCATCTTTTCAAGGGAGGCGAAATCAAGTTTCAGAATGTCAATTTTGGCTACAATGCGGAGCGCCCCATCCTTCGAGATCTGACGATGACGATCCCCGCCGGTAAGAAGGTCGCTATCGTAGGTCCGAGCGGATGTGGAAAGTCTACAATATTAAGACTCCTTTTCCGCTACTACGACGTCGAGAATGGTCGCATTCTCATAGATGACCAAGACATTCGTCACGTTACGCTGGAGTCCCTGAGAAAGTCGATTGGCGTCGTCCCGCAAGATACTCCCCTCTTTAACGATACGGTCGAACACAACATCAGATACGGCGATCTCTCGGCGCCCGAAGACCGGGTGATCGCAGCTGCTAAACGTGCTCGTATCCACGACATTATTTCTAGCTGGCCTGCTGGCTATCATACCAAAGTTGGCGAAAGGGGCTTGATGATCAGTGGGGGGGAGAAGCAGCGCCTCGCTGTTTCTAGATTGCTGCTAAAGGACCCGCCGCTCTTATTCTTCGACGAGGCGACCAGCGCGTTGGATACGCATACCGAACAGGCGCTCATGCAGAACATCAATAGCATCCTCCGGGAAAAGGCGCGAACGAGCGTGTTCGTGGCGCATCGGCTACGGACTATATATGATGCCGATCTGATCATCGTGTTGAGGGAAGGGAGAGTTGCCGAGCAGGGAACGCACAAAGAGCTTATCGATCAAGGAGGGCTGTACTCGGAGCTTTGGAGTGGTAAGTAACCCTAAAATAACATCTCCTACAATCTATTTGAGAGCTTTGGGTTCTAACTTGGGTCCTACAGCCCAGGAAACTCTCTTCAACTCGGACGGGGATAAAGAAGGAACCGTGAACGAAGAGAAATGAATTGAAAGTGATGCTGGCAGCGAGATGCCTCGGATGCGAGGGGTCTTTGATCGATCCTGCGCGAAATGGAGCTTCGTAGCATTCAGAAGGACCCTTGGGTAGCGCAGTTATCCTTTGGTATGTATCCAAGTGCGTTACTCGATAGAATAATCTACCTAAAGCAAAGACCTCATAATCTGTGAAGCATGTGATGGTTTGAGGACGCCCACTAGGCTTCTAGTAGGACAACCAGCTATATCTGTCCATGGATGCTTTAAATTGGCACAGTTGTTGTTCGATGCCGTCGTCACTTTACACGACCTTACGCGTCTATTTTAAGTCGAAAGGTTTATCTTGGCTGGTATTAGAAAATGATCCCCGTCGTTTGAGACGATACAAGTGGCCAACCTCTGCTGCTAGCTATCAAAGTCAATCTATCACTGAATAATTACTTCGGGTGGCTATTACTTTTCGGTCTGTTAAGCGTCTGTCATATAATGACAATGCGGAGAAGCAGCGCATTCCTTAGTGATCCGCCACACAGATCGGTGCGAGCATATGAAATGCTAGTATGAGTAATAACCACAGAATATGTCGTTTAACGTTTTAGATGAAACTTCTTATCTCGGCATACAGGCCCTGCGGTCTGTGTAGCACCAACGTAATAAGTTGGCGTCATGATTAATTAAGTTATTTATTCCTATGGTTTGCCCCTGATTAAGTGTCTATCAAGGCATATTCTGCGAACGACAGATCTTCGCTCAGGCAAAGTTTCTATTCTAACTTACAAGCAGGAAACATCCAACCGACATTACACTCACTTAGGAGCGGATTAGACCCCAGCTAGTTAGATACCACTGAGCATGGTCCGCCTAGTATTCCGGAGGCTTACGTCTACCAGAAGTCTATGCGGTCAGGTCGTTCGTAGGCGCGCAGAACCTTCGTTGTGTCCAAACCATAGCACGGCCGACAAGCGCACTAGGCTAGGAGGCCTAGAAGGAGTACCTATATACCTTATATATATTCAATTCCCTAGTATCCGTGCCTTTTTGGTCTTCCTTTGACGGATATCCTCTTCGCCTTCCAACTTACTTCGCCTATATCATACTTGCCCGGCATTAACGAAATGGCAAATTTCAAGAGGCTTCCATGGCTTTACTTAGCAATTTCTGCAAGAATCTTCCCGTTGGTTCTCGGTCGAGATGGAGGGGCAGAGTTCCAGCCGTCCGTGGACTTGGGATACGAAGTTCGTCGAGGATCGATGAATGTTAGTAGTCTAAAAACAGGAAACTAACTAGCTCTGTCATATATCCTGCATAGTCAATATGATCGACTACGAATAAACAAAGTGAAAACTAGGTGGTTTTGCGAGCGCAATACTGACAACCTTTATAGAAAACTGGAGATTACTACATCTTTAACAACATCCCATATGCGCAGCAGCCTGTTGGTGAGCTGCGCTTCTCAAAGCCAGTCCCTATCGTCCAAAGTCAGGGTGTCCCGGCCCATGGACATGGAAACGATGATGTTGTCATGTGCCCTCAGGCTTATCCGCAGTGGCTTATTGACCTCATGGCAAAGCGCATAGGGGTCGATAAAAAGAGGATAGCGTCTTTGCTCAACAACCAACTGGGCCAGACGGAGGCATGTCTGGTACTTGATGTCTATGTGCCTGCGAACATTTTTGACGAGGGTCCTGCTGCAAATGGTATGTCATCTTCGTGATTCTGTTGGCATGCTTTGGTTTACGCACATAAATTCTAACTATGGCCTTCCAGCATCTGTCCTCGTATGGATCCATGGTGACGGCTTCACGTACGGGTCTAAGAATCTGTACGATAACCCAGCAAGCTTGATTGCTAGATCTCAAAAGATATGTCCACAGGGGACCATCGTAGTCTCGATTAATTACCAGTTAAGGATGTACGGTTAGCTATCCGGCGGTGATGTTACGCCGAACCTGGGACTTTACGACCAGCGACAAGCTTTGGATTGGATACAGAAATACATCGTCTTATTCGGAGGCGGTCCGGGCAGAGTGACGGTTATGGGTGAAAGCGCGGGTGCTGCGAGTATCGTCCACCAGCTTACTGCATTTGACGGGTCGAAGGCTTCCCCATTTCTGAAAGCGATTATTCAGTCGCCCGGATTCCAATGGAATATTGACTTGCGTGGTAACTATCTTAGAACATTGGTAGAGGCGTCTAAATTAGTCGGGTACGAGATTGATAGCGTAAGTCAGCTTCGTAAATTACCCGTCGACCTGCTACAGGCTATCAACCAAGCTACTGTCACTTTGGCCCCGATGGGTACGTTTGGCTTTGGACCCGGACCTGACGGCTCATTCGTGACGGACATTCCGCAGAAGTTAATTTACAAAGGTAAATTCGATCGTACGGTCCAAGTGAGTCACCTTTTCCTCCTATAATATAGGGCCAGTCGTCAAGCGTAATGTCCCGGAATCAGCTGCTCCTAAGCCATACATCGCACGAATCCGTACCTTTCCTCCCGAACATAACTACCGCAGCCGATTTGCGGTTATACGTGAAGCAAAACATGCCAACAACCTCTAAAAAAACCGTTAACTTTATGCTTGAGAGTCGGCGACTGTATCCCAACGTAATGAATGGCACGTACCCATGGAGGACCGTGTACAACATGGTATCTCTCGACAGCGCTACAGAATGACACTTTCAATCTCGTGTTCACGCATCCTCCAGGCTGGTACGCTGACGACGTACCATACGTCTTCTTCAACGGCGATACGAACACGCTGCATAGCGGGTACAAAGTCGATCAAGGCCTAGCAACGCAACTGCAGGACTACATCGTCTCATTTGCTCAGACTGGGAACCCAAACTCTGTGTCGAATAGGCCGCATTTCCAGAAATACGGGCCCAATTCGACAGTACTAGAATTGGGGAGTCAAGGGTTTAGGATAGGGACAGATGATTTGAAGGGTGAAAGATGCAGGTGGCTCCAGCAAGCTATGCTGGTAGGAATATTGTGATTGTATTAATTTTCTTTTTTTATCAGGTAAGGGCCGCATATTCGAGCAGCGACGGTATTTTCCTATTGGTCTTTAGGTTGTATTGTTAGAATATGATAGCTATTCTCATAGTCGTCTGATGTAAGGGATAGCATTTGAAAGGAGATTGTAAAAGGGGGCATATGGAGTGGGGAGTGCCAAGTTAGGGTGTAGGGTAGGTAATTGCATAATTCATAATTTTATTCCATTAGGCATAAAATCTCAAAACATTGAAAATCACCCGTCGCATCCGGTGACACTTTGAAACTTTGAAAATTTCGACTTTCACGCATCGTTACAGGTACCTACTAGCAGTTAGCTAATGCGCATATCTTATTAGACCTGTCGCCATGTTCGAGGTGGCTGGGTGGGCGTTCACAACTCTCTGAACGATACCGGTGGTTGTAATACTCTACCTTTTCCGAATCAACCAACTTCTAAGCCGAACGCCAGATGAGGTTAGGAAGTTGTCGGCTTCTCGCTGGACGAAGGACCAACTCAAGGGAGCTTATAGACGGTTGCAAGAGAACCCGATAAATTATGCTAACAAACTTCCGCCTAAATTAGAGCGTCGCTACGTTGTGACGGGAGGCTCAGGTAAGCATTTCTAACCCAACGACCTACCCTTGAAAAACAAAAATGGAAAAATTGTCTAAACTTTCAACGTCATATTCAGGGCTTGTGGGTGGCTTTATCGTGCTCCAACTTCTAGCTCGCGGCAACTCCCCAGAGGCTATTCGAATCATTGACATTCGGAAGACCGAGCGCAATGATATGTGCTCTGGACCGGCTACGGAGGTCGAATTCGTACAAGCTGATATCACATCATCTAATTCTGTCGATGCCGCTTTTGCGCGTCCCTGGAATCCAAGAGTGTCGCATTTACCGCTGACGGTTTTCCATACCGCGGCTGTCATTCTAGCTTCCGAGAGGTCCGGATTCCAGTACGCATTCCCGGAAGCCGTCAACGTGACGGGGACAAAGAATGTGTTAGCGGCCGCCCGCAAAGCCGGTGCCGATATTTTTAGCTCCACATCGTCCGGATCCATATCAATCCGGCCGGTCGAACCGTTTGTACCTCCTTGGGCAAGCTCGCCCCGGAACTTTTGGCAGATCCTGGATGTGCAAGATTTTGATGCTCCTTTGAGAGAACGCAAGGGATACTATGCCAATTACCCTGCTTCGAAAGCTGTTGCGGAGAGATTCGTTTGCGGTTCAAGTAGCGAGAAATTTCGTACGGGTTGCATCCGTCCTGCGAATGGCGTCTACGGAAATCCGACAGATAATACCGTTGGTGACCCTCTCGGCAGAACAGTCATACCTAGGTAAGTTTCTCGGGACCCGATAAGTGCGGCGTAATAGTTCCATGCTGACGTGGGGGGAAAATAATAGCTGGGTATCACATATCGTACAGAGCTTCGTGCACGGGGCAAACGTAGCTATCGCACACCTACAACATGAGGCCGCTCTTATTCAACCTTGGACAGAGAGCGCGAAACAGGCTGGTCGACCGTTCGTGGTTACGGATCCGAACCCACCGATCACGTATAGTGATCTGTATAACGCGATCGAAACCCTCTCAGTGCACCCGCCTCGCATTATCAAAGTGCCACCCGTTATCATGCTTCTGCTCTCGCATGCGGTGGAGATCTACACCGAATTGCTATATAAGTATCCGATTTTACGCAGAGTATTCCCCGGGCTTAAAGGGGATATAAAACACCTCAAGCCAGGAATTTTCTCGATTTGTACCCATCTAGTCGCGTCTGATGACGAGATTAGGAAGCCGACTTCTCAAGGCGGTTTAGGATACACGGGCGTGCTCACCACAATGGAAGGGATGGCGCTAGAGATCCTAGAGTGGAATGGAGAGCATGTAAATGAAGTCAAGATGAGAAAGACATATACTACGTCGGTGTCCCTGGCAGAGAAAATCCAAGAGCTCTGGGCGGTACGAGGTAATTCTGGAAGTAGTTTAGTCTCCGATTGGCAATGATGCGCGGTCTCGCCCACCTTCGTAATAAAAAATAATAAAAAACAGGCAGATCCAGCGATTCTGACACAGATTATGCGCATACCCGTCTGGTTAACGCATAATCTACCAGCATCTTGTTGGCATGAGAGGAGGTTCGTAAGCGACATCATTCCAATTAGAGGCTTTCGTTGATTCTTTATTCATACATCCAATGTTAGAAAGTTAGACATAACATTGCATCGCATTCATGCATACACTACAGTATGCAGGTAGCTTTCAATTTTGGGGTGGATAGAGACAGAGGATCTTCCGATTAAAAAAAAGGGCCCAACAAAATCGAAGATGCAATTGAAAATTCGCATTGGCTCATGGCTGAAACGTGGTTTTCCCTGCATTAAACCTATGCAGGCGCTTTATCCTAACAGGTAAGGTTTATCAGGATAAACAGGGGGCCAACACGTGCTAGAACGATCTTGGTTCAATGCTTCCTGGGGGAGTACGGCGGTACGGCGGTACATAAAGGTACAGATGCTCTAATGTGGCATGGCCAAGCGTTTTCAAGCGTCCTCTACCAGGCTAGTTAATATTTCTAACCTCTATGCGTGCATCGTAGTGGCTAGGTTAGTGGCTAATCCGGCTAGACATTATGCGCATGTAGGGGGTCAAAGCCTAAAAATCCCTGCCTTTTAGCTGTATTTAGCTACCAAGTAAGGTAAGTACACTACCCAAGGTACACTTTAGCCCCAAGGTACACTTCTTTAGCTAGCCTAGGTGGATTCCCAGCTAAACCTCCCCTTCCCATCTCGGCTATCTTCGACTCTCGTTTCTAATAACGTTCCTGACCCTGTTGGCTCATTTCTTCACAAACTCTCTTTCCCCTGTCAATAGTCTTCCTAACTTATCCTAAATCGTCTTTAATTTGCTGGCCTCTTTTTTTTCTCTTTTTTGGACTTTCTCTTTCTTTCCCAACCCCCAATTCCCATTCCTTCACTAGTCATACATAAACCAACCACATACATGGTGAACACAGGACTGTTCCCTTTCGTTCGTTTATAACGAGTAATACCCGGATTGGCCGGAAGAACAAATCGATCGTTACCATATTCACGCCCTTTAATACCAAACAACTCACGACTGTAATTATTAGAGCACTATAGACATCAAGTGAATCATCCAAGGACCTTTGAGCCGCGCCACTAGCTCCTCACTGGATTAGTCGTAATACCCGGAATTGGAAGGCAAAAAGAAAGGTCAACGAAGCCACAGTTTGAGATATCGGAACTTGCTTAAAAGGCGAAGTAGTTGGAAATCCAAAATCGTCACGATGCCGAGTTTGATCGAAAAGATCCAAGCTAAGCTTGAGCTATTTCGGCTCGAGAAGCGGTACACGCGCAACCGCCATCGTCGCTCGGCTTTCATCAGCAACGCCATCTACGTTGATGGCGAATACATATACCAGACCCCGAACACTACCGGATCATCTACCAATAGCTCTTCCACCGCCGCTTCGTCTCCAGTCGAAGAGCCCAGTAGACGTCATAGTGCTGTTGTCGAAGAGCCGAGAAGCCGTTACAACACCGATCCGCAGACGCCAGCGCAGAAGAAGCGATTAAACCGATTCTCAACAATGCCGGGATTTGGCTCCTCATCGAAGCGCAGCTCTAGGGACTGGAAACCAGATGTCGTCGACGTGAGCGAGGTACGGTGAACGAACGATGAGACGCTCATCGGGAAGCGAATGATAGATGAAATCATATTATGCTGGTGTACATGGTGTCACGAGCTAACTAGGAGTTGTTTTGTATTTGAATATACCAACTTTGCAGGTGGGGTTTTTAAGTATTGCTATGAAGCACCGAGGAGTTTAACGATAAACCTTGTGGTCGGTCTTCCGGCTGTGTCGCCAAGCGGCACCATCATAGAAATATTCTGATCGTGCGAAGGCCTTTGGATTCGGCATTACGACACGGTTTTTAAATGTATATATTTGCTCTTATGACGAAGGAGAAGAAAAGATCCAGTTGTATATCAAAACATGCTAGGTACCTACCTAGGCAAACATTGGTTGTTTAATCCTCCTGACTCAGTTTTTAATCCATCCCCTCGCTTTCTTTCTCAGACACGTCGTACGACGGGTCTACTTTATATGGTTCTTGACGGTATTCAGACTTATATGTAAAGAGATGACGTTATAGGTTCCCTATTCCCGTGTCGAAAGGATCATCAGGGTACTTCCGAATGGCAACCCAACCGAGTAGGAGCCGACATCTGATTGGGCCCGACTAGAAGCTTTTTCATCCTCCATGCCGCATGCCCTTATTAGCTAGCACCATTTCAGCCTTCCTACATGCCGTAACGCCTTTAATCTATTTGAAGAGAGGGCAATTATGATATCAACTTAGTTAGAAGCTAAAGTCCCCCCCTCTGTCGACTATATAGGGAGCATGGTGACAACAATGTACATTGTCTACTCGGCTCATATTCTTCTACATCTCATTGTTAAGGCTTTATTGTAGCTGAATTAATGGTCTTTGACGCGGGAATAGGTTCACTACGGGTCCTAACTGCCTCATAGCTTTTATATAGGTACCTACTAACCTAACCTCACGTCCACTATGGTTCGGACTCGATAGCGTAATTTAATTTCTAGTGCTTCGATGTCTGTCAATACCACATCTGCGAACCTGCATAGCAACTTGAGAGGAACACCGAGAACCTAACCGTATAACACTAGCTATATTAATATAATCCAACCTGTGGTAAAATCTATCCTGAAAACCAGTCCAAGTCGAGCGGTGTCCTCGATGATATTCCTCCTACATTGTCTTCCCCCAGCCCACAGATTGCCTAGTATCTTTGCTTCATCTAGTATCTAAGCATCGGTCTCGTTCGACGCAGAGCGAAATCCGAATTTTCCTCGTCTTAAGTGTGGAGCTGTGAGTTAAGCTATGTTAATATCCGCTTCGATGAAACCTTCAGATTCAAGTTTAACTTACCGGCGGACAGTTTCTCGGTTGCAACTTCAGAGAAGTTTCCATTCCTACGTGTGACTATTCAAACCCGCATTAGTTAGTTACTGAAATTTATCTCAGATATTCAAAGCTATATCGCGGATACATACCAAGAGAGCCAACCGCAGTTTCGTCCGTGGAATTCGCGCTCCTGGGGATCCCTATTATTCCGGCTTAGCATAGATGTCTCCTAATACTAGACAAGCTGCGGTTATACGTACCTAAAAACCTGGCTGGAGTCTCCGTCTCGTTTGACCTACTTCCAACTCTAACTCGAGGCACTACATATTGTTAAACACGGCTTGCGCTATATGTCATAAAAGTCATCATACCAAGCTCTAGTGCTCGCGCTGCGATATGAGCGGCTGCATGGTGAGTTAGTAAGTGTTTCTCAATAGGTGGATATGAAAATCAGAATATAAAACATACAGTCAGCCGAAACAACTCGGCTCTCATTTCTGAATGCTGGCGTACTCGTCACGAGAGAGCCGGCCGAAGCTAAGAGGAATACGATTGCGCCAAAGTTCTTCATGATGCTACAACTGCACAATGACAGGAAACTGGGTTGGATATTGGGCTTCCGGGACTACCTGGTCCAAGTAAAAGGAACTAGGAATCTCAGTTAGCAATAGTAAGAGAAACAAACCGCATTACCAAACTTACATTAGGCTGGTTTCTACCTACACGAAGAGGCAGGATAGGAGTGAGAATAGAATACGTTGGAAGCTGTATGAAGATAGTTGGTCAAGGAGGGCTACGAGAAGACGATATATATGCTCGATAGGGAGTGTCGGAACTGACTGGGTAAAGGATGTACAACCCACACGAACATATTGCGATCGCCCGTCCCCTCAGTATGTCCAATGCGGTCATTAGGATGGAAGATTCCGGTATTCAAACAAACCAGACCCTCTTATTAAGAGAATACCGGGTCGCCTAGCCTTCGTTGACTTGGCTCCGCAGAAAGTCGTCAAATGCTGGCGTACCTACTACCAATTCGTTAAGTACAAGCACCATTATCTTTCAACCACAGTTTTTTACGCATTTCCAATAGTAATAAAATAAACAAAAATAATATTATAAACTTCAAGTCCTATATAATAGTATTGGTTTGGATTTTACATATCTCAAATTTAGTGAGAGGTATTTTGAGGTGATAGTGTGAGAATGCGCCCCCTTTTTTGACGCCTTTCTGGCCCCGATGAACCGGTTCGAGGCCAACCGCATACCTACCTAGACCTAGGTAGCTTATCGCCGTGTCTCTTTTCTCAAAACCATATGCATACCTGGTATCGCAGATACTTTTGCGAGAGCTTACCGTATTCTCTATGATAGTGTACCTGACTAAGTTAGACGAGCTCGACGCCGCGCCGGCCGCGGTAAACGCCTCGCGGTGCGAGCCCTAGGCGCTCGACTTCGCCGTGGACAAGTTAAATCTACCTAGGTAGCTCATTGGCTTATGGTGGTTGCACATCAAACGGTCCGATCCACAGGTCGGAAAATCCGAATACCCAACGGTCAGTGATGCACAGCATATGGAAACAGAAGGGGTGGAGCTGCGACATGATCGGCCGGCTTATCATCGCCGATCACCCTCACTACATATCGCTCTCAACCTCTCGCTACCTCCCAACCCCTATTTCACAAGATTATAATCCTCCAATCAGAGAACTTTGACCTAAACAAAGCACAAGGCTGGAAAAATGGTTCTTGTTAGGAATGGGCCGTGATTGGGCAATTGGCGGTAAGAACTTCGCTTACTTGGATCGTCGTTCGAGGGACACAACAAACACAGCTAGCAAGTTACTAACAACTATCCATTTTCTGCTTCGTAGTGCGACCGACGCCTCAATCTTTAGATATCAAAGTCGCGATACTGACGCCTATCGGGTCGCATCTCAAAGGAAAGTCTCAGCCCTACGAAACCATGCTGATACATGAATAGACAAATAACCAGGGGCTGTGACGTCAGAGGCCGTGATTCTTTTTAATTTTGTGAAGAATGGTGGGACTCAAACATTTCTCTGCAAAAGGGGTTATGTTCCTCGACAGATCAGCAACATCTTGAACCCAACCCCCCCCCCCCCCCCCATTTTCCTTACGCAGTAATACATATGAATATTTATCAAAAGTATCGAAGGTTCATGCTATATAAATTGCATGTACGAAGGCCAAAAGTCTTGCACATGCCAAGCTTTTAGTCGCGGGAACATAACGTACACAATTATAATAGCACTATATTGGCTTAGCACTAGTTTTGGGGGCGGATAGTGGCTTGTACGCTAAACTTTAGGGAGCTTACCATTATAGCTACAGGGGAGTTAGCTACTATTGGTAGATCTGACACCGTATAGCCTTTTTTATTGACACATACCTAAGTGGGTAGCTTACCTAAGCTACGATGTGCAAGACTTTTGGCCCGGACCTTCGTATTAATTCCTTCCATCTTCCATGGTTCCGCCCCCTCAACCGCCCTTAGGTAAGTATTCCAAGGTTGACGAGTTTCCAATAGAATGAAAACACATCACCCATGCAGACTACGCGATTGCGTGCTTCAAACGGGAGTCCAACTTGTAAGACTAAGCGAAGTATAGTGTTGACTACCTACCTACTATGTATGCGAAAAGGCCATAATCTTGTCAATACCTAAGGTATCTATGGACTGCAAAAGGCTGCCCTTAGTGAGAGGAGGGGATAAAAGAGGGGGGGCAAAAGAGGGGGGGCTATCCGGATCTACGAAGACTTGGGTGAATTTAAACACGGCCAGTGTAGGTTAACAGGACTCATATCAGATTCCCAACATGGCCAGTGCCCGGGCTGCTTGGTGGTGGACGCTGAAAATGACATATGAATTGCCGTACAACTCACCGCAGGCTGTTATGAGGCCCCTTTCAGCTTCTGTTAAAGCGAACGGGCACCCCCACGATTATATTACTATTTCATCACTCGGTTAGGCAGTTGATACAGTTATCCTTTACTTGAACTTCTTTCCTAATCCATTGCGCGCTCTCGACTATATGCATACGTCTTTAATATGTCTTGATACATTCATCCCTCGAGCACAGCACGAGGTAGACCAGAGGAATTCTACCGATCGGAGTTTAAGGATGAAAATAACAATTACCTACCTGTAGGTAAGTTCCGGCACAAGTGCTCGCTCAACACACCCTGTAGATCTCTTCGATGTTTCAAATAGCCTTCGGCATGATCGTCTTACAACTTCTATTTGATTCTCATGATATTTTGGTGTTACGTCGTCGAGTTGAGCGCCGAATGGCACGTACGGAGATACAATAAAGCCGTGACGACGACAAAGTTTTGTCGCACTCGGAAACTAAGGAGATGTGGTCCAAGTGCGGGGCCCTTTTATCTCCATACTCCGAAGGCGAAGTGTAGCATCCCCGATTCTCGAGAGAGGTCATCGTTGGCAAAACGAAACACATAAAAGCTGTGTTACCAAGGTGACACAGCTGCTTATACCTAATGGAATAACATCAACTTGTATTACGGAAATACTCGTTCCCCACATCCTAGTCATAATGGCCCCGCTCTACAAGAAAACCCTCGTCGTTGGCGCGACGTCCGGCATTGGCGAGGCCCTTGCTGCAAAATTGCACGCCGAGGGAACTTCCGTCATCGTAACCGGCCGACGCCAGGATCGCCTAGACGCATTCGTCGAGAAGCATCCTGGGTCAGGCGGCGTGGCGGTTGACATCGCTAAGTTGCACGAAATCCCGTCTTTCGTCTCCTCTGTTACGCAGCAGCATCCGGATATAGACAGCGTAGTTCTCAACGCTGGCATCCAACGTCCTTTCAACTTCTCCAAGCCCGAAACGGTAGACCTGTCTATATTCACCGAGGAATTCAATACCAACTATGTGTCTTTTGTGCACCTAGTAAAGGCATTTCTGCCACATTTGCAGCGTGTCTCCAGGGATACCGAGGCGCATTTGGTATTCGTAAACGCTTCACTGGCGCTTGTACCGACATGTAAGTTGACGTGATGTTCTTACTTATTTTAACCCCCATACGTGGCTTATAAGTTCGTCTCCTCAACGATTAGGTACTTACCTTTACCGCTTTAGTGACTCGTACGCCTGGTTATAACGCTAGCAAGGCAGCACTTCACTCCTTCGTTGTGAATGTGCGACAACAGATTAAGGACGCGGGATATAATATTCGCTTCGTCGAAGTGTTCCCTCCTGCAGTGCAAACAGAGCTTCATGACACAAAACACCAACCAGACATGATAAACGGCCACGAGATAGGTATGCCACTGGGCCCTTACATCGAGCGAATGTACGAGGGCCTGCGGAAAGGCGACGAGCAGTTTGCCATTGGACACGCAGAAGAGTACGTAAATTTCATGTTTTCACTTCATAGTTTATATAAATTGTCCTTTAGATACACGGTACTATGTTGCTAACTAGTTTTAGGTGGCTCAAAGAGGGCGGTTTTGAGGCTACTCGAACAATACTATTTGAGCAAGGTAATGCCACCATCAAGGAGGCTCTAGCAAAATATGTCAAGAGCACATGAGAAGTAGGCACTATCATACTTCTATCTATGCGTTACTATGTAGGTAGTCTATCAAACAAAACCTGTATCTGCGTACGGGTAGAAAATGGCGACACTCTTAAGTTCTACATGCCTCCATGCAAGAATCCCCTCGTAGCGCCGGCCTCTGAGATCAAATTCAGACGTTTAGTTGCGGTGTATGTTTAATGGATAATAAACAGCAATCTGATGTGTTATTAGGAATCGCCAGTCAGAACCCGAGTGGATCCAACCGATCTGCTGCGGCGCGGACCTTTGCCGTGATGTCGTCAAGCTATGAAGGAAATAAATTAGTTCATCTGACACGCCCTCGTTTGTGAAGAAAGCTAAGTAGGGGTTTAAACGCTGGCCATGGACTTACGTTATCAAAATCAAAGATGGAAAAGTGGTGACCTTCTATATCTATGATTTCTTTCATGAAATTGCCGTGTTCCTCGTTGTAGTTCGCCCAGCCTAGAAGTCGATCCTCGCGCGCGAAGTCTACGAAGCTCTTGGAAGGGTCTCGGTTGAACCACTCCTTTGCTCGTAAAAGGATGGTTGGTGGTACTTGTAGACCATCTTCCCAACGTGGCAGTTCCCAAACTGACACCATCATCCGAGCGTGCGTCATATTCACGTTGACCTTGTCTTTTAGCTTCATGGCCTCCGACTCCTGAGCCGATAGTATGACGGGTTCGCGAGGAAGGCGCGCCCGCATCTCCGGTGAGAAGTTTGGGCAGATGCTGTCGATGAAGACCATGCCTTTGACCCGGAACTTTGCTCCTGTACCACCGTCACGCCTCGCCACAGCGATTCGATGTGCCATCTCGAGGGTTAAGAGACCCCCCAATGACCAACCTGAGGTCTGTGTTAGCATATGGGCGTATTGGTATATCGATATATCGTCATATTGCAATTTCGTAAATAGGTGCATACGTACCTCCGAGGAGGATATCGCCGCCCTCGGGAATCGCTTTAGAAAGGAGCCCGACATAATAGGCAGCCATCTGCGGAATGCCGCCTTCCCACCAACCACCGTCGTGGAGCCTAGCGTTTGCGAGACCCCATAACGGACGGCCAATTTGGTTAAGTAGGTGGTAGTTAAAGCTGGTACCGCCGCCGTCGTGAATCAGGATTAGCGGGGCACGGGGGAGCGCCGGTCCCTCGTAAATCAGCGCCGGGTTCGGAAGGTAGTCGTGCATGGAAAGGGAATAGAAAAGGATGATGATGATGACGACGATGACGACGACAATGATGATAGCTTCAACTAAGTTCAATTTTATGCGAAACGAACAAGCGTGTGTCTAACCGTACCTAATTTAATAACGTAACCGACTTTGGTTGATGGTTGATTTGTCTGTCCGTCACCGTCACCGTCACCGGCCCGACTGGTCGACCAAATGCGAAGCTCGATTGAGTTTATTTTCCAATTCTATTCCTTACCTCGTTAGGCACTTGATTCCTTCGTATTAATTTCTCTATTGAGGTTCGCATCTCAAGTGTTGGTTTGCGTGAGGAACTTCGGGGTGGATTCGGTTTAAATGTAAGACGGACGAGAAAGTTCGGTTTTTGTTGTTGTTGAATGAAGATAGTGGGGTTGATTAACGCCTAAGTTAGTACCTAAAGTTAGGACCGTTGTGGCTTACCTACCCAAACAGAAGGATCACCGCAACTCAACTGGCACGGCAGGAACCCTTATGCAGCTTGAGCGGGCCTCGAGGTAAGTTCTTCACATGTACGCGCTAAAACAAATGCCCAATGGAACCGTAGGAGGTACCTATCATGCAGTGTTACCATTAGGTACCTAATATCCGGTCGCAATTATTAGGTACCTGTTAAATGCATACCTACCTGGTAGGTATTAAAGATTTCTCTCCCCTAGGTACCTATATGTAAGTACCTATTCCTCATAGGTTATAGCCGTTGGATACTCCGGTATTTTATTGGAAGATTCGTGGGGCTTATCTCCGTTAGTTACTATAACCTGAGATCTTACTTTTTTAAATCTTTATTTCATACCACCAAGGTAGACACCAGTCAGAGTTCACGCGGGCCGGTTGGGAAGCACCCGATCACGTACCTAGAGCTTGCCTGGATTTGATGCGTAGACAGTAGAGATGTCAGCTCCAAACGATGAGATTGCATAGTAAGTATTCGTTGGGAATCGGTTGTGCTATCCAGAAATTCGCTCTTATTTAAGATCTAAGTGCCGAAACCACATATTCATCCGGTCCTCTATTCCAAGACAGATACAGACACCACAAGTATTGCGACGATGAGCCACAGCGGTACATCGAACAAAGCTGAAGCACGCATGGCTGCCATTCTCGTCCCTCGAGATTTTTCGCCGCCATTAGCGGTATGCGGAGAAATGTTATTTTCTGAGTTCTGGTCGATTGTAAATGTTCGCTTTGCTGCAGGCGCCAAGGCGTTGTTGGCAAAATCCGGGGACCTCCAGTCCGACCAATCGTGTGTCAATAGGCCCCTAATGGATTAATTTTCAAATCAGCGCCTCAGAACCTTGAAAAAACAATGCTAAATCATGTTATATATATCTAGACCAAGTAGAGAGGTTACAAAACTCACCAGCTTTCATCCTGATCTTGAGTCCCCTCACGAATGTAGTAACTCCCCCCTATTTCCCAGATCATCCAGCCGGCGTTCGCCGAAGGCACATAATCTAGTAGGCATGATATATAAGGATCTTGCTTCGCTTCGTTGTTCTGCAGAAGACCAAACTCTGTCAAGACGACCGGAAACCGATTTTTAGCTTCGTCTGTTAAGGCCTTGAAGCCGGCGTTAAATAATTTGGCTTCAACAGCGGTACAATTGCTGGGTCCGGACCCAAAAATGTTATCGTACGCATGTAGCTCAAGGACTAATTTGTTCGCGAAGCCTGAGAAATCGTCTTGGTTGAAAGTGGCTGAACCAGGCGTGAGTGCTGTTCCGTTAACTATAGGGCTTAGATCCTGATCCGAATTTAATCCCGAGAGGAATATCAAGACGTCTCCGTTGGCTCTGTGAATAGCGCTTGAGCCCTGTTTAACGTAAGTATACCAGCGTTCCCAACTGTAGGCACTACTGGCAAATGTGACGTTATTCAGGGGTATGCGAAGCTCGTTCCTTAGAGACATCGACGTGAGGCTTGGCCATGATTTCCCCTAGCTCATGTCAGCGAAATAATTCATCACGACCTTGGAGGAAGATACACGGACATGTGTTGCCATAAAAGATAAGCCTCGCGTCCAGTTGTCGATGTTGAAGAATTCATCACCCCACCAAGAGTTCCCGTCAAGGGGGCTGCAGCACCAGCCTGCTTTTGAGATATGATTGTCTAAATGGACATAGATCTCCTGCTTTGCACATTCAGCTGCAATAGCGTCATAAACCTTTGATCACGTTATTAGCCTCGGGAATTTGACGTGATCGTTCGTCACTGATGGCTAACCTGTAACCGCGTGGTTTTTTCACTGAAAGATGGGTTATTGGTAATGATTTTATGGTACACTACCCTTCCACTATCCTGTCCCAAGACGTCGGTCAAGGCTTTCTGGATTGTTATATCGGTCTCTCCATTATCATAATATTGATCTATCATCTCGGTGGCATATGTGAGTCGGATAGTGTTCATGCCCAGGCTTTTGATCTTGGAAACGATTGATTGAATGGATTGATACTGTAAACCTTCAGGAATCATAGTGTCCAGCGACCCCGGCCAATTCACGCCGACGTAGGTGACGGTGGAGCCGGCGGCATCATGAATCCAGCGGCCCGAAGTAAGGAAAGGTCCGTTCGGCCAGGTGGCGCGCGGAATATTCGACGAAGCAAAGACGCCATTAATAGCTAGACAGACAGGTAGCCAGTACCGCCATACGCAATTTGCCATTTTTATCTTGTTAGGGAAAGAAAGAAAAAACGAATGCTGATGAAGTTGGAATTGAAAAGTTCCAGACCATGGATTTTTTTATTTATTTAACTATCATAGCCGCAACACGAGCTTTCTACTATGTACCTACCTAGCTGGAGCATGATTGTTTCATCTGTACTCGTTTCGTATTGAGAACCAAAGAAAAAGGTGGCTACCTCCTACGGTTGTTAAAGCCGATCGTTTTCAACCCCTATTTTTATTGGCTGGCAATTCCCGATCTGTAGTGGGGATTGGCATAAATGGATGATATATTGTACATTGGGGCGCGAGTTAGGTTTTCTCGCTGACCCGCGCATCGTATTTTACTCTCCCTCATATCCCCAGAGGTAGACGCAAAGCTTTCATGTTCGCAGCATGTTGCTGAGTCTTTCATTCCCGCAAGCGAAGATATCTTGTCTTAATTTCTCGCCGATATTGCCATCGACCAGATATGAAGCTCGGCAGAAAATTCAATCGGTACGAATATGTGCCGACGCCAACTTCATCGATATTCTCTGTTGGTAGTCGATGCTACCCGTTTATCCATAGCCATGTACCCTACACGAGATGCCGATTAGGTCCTCTGAAGTAGGTCCTCTGAAGGAAGGTCTTGATAGCCAAGGCTAGGCTCAACTTCCTATCAGAGGAGGTCCCTTGTTCAACCCCAATCTTGCTGATCGAGAAACTACGTAAATCGCAAGCCTCGGGGCAAGAAACCCAGTTTCTAATCTAGACTAGGTTTTGATTGAACTCATGGCGGCCATTCCATATCGAAGTTAAGCATGTCCGGAACCTCATCTGCTGCAGAGAATGTTGTGACATAGTCCAGTTGTGAGATGGTCGAAGGGTCTGTTTCTGGCATATATTCTTGTCTAGAATCCTTTGCGCCTCTTGGTAATACCTCCGTGGATTCATCTGTGATAAAATGCGAGTTGCGTTCTTCCATAACGCCACCTAGGGATGTATCAACTCTATTTTGCAGACTTGACGCACAACTAAAGGTATTTATCGCATATGAATCTTCGTCTCGGCATGTTTCGATTTGCAGATCGTGTCTGTCGGTTCCCAATGGATCATCGATCCTGCTCCGTTTGTTTGCTGCTCTCTGGGAGCTGGATTGCATCGCTATTCCCGAGTCTAGCGTTGGTGATGAACGGAGACTATGAGTAGCGCTAGCTGGTTCGAGGGCCCTAGCATTATCGCTCGTCCATTGATCGATGATAAGTTGCAACCCTTCTCCGAGCACCTCCTTCTTAAAGGTATCAAGATCCCTTTCTTCTCGAGGGAGATTCCAGGTCACGACTCCTCTCGCTTCCAGAAACTCGGTTAAGAGAGCCGGCCCTCGGGCCGTCATGAAATCCTGGAAAACGCATAAATCGTCGGAGAGCTCTCGATCACGGTAGGGTGTCCTTGGACGCGGGTGTGGGGAGAAAATTATGTCAAAGACCGCAAACCATTGTTGCTCCTCCGGCATCTTAGATGACACCCTCTGGCTCAGTTCCCTTTTCTGCTTCTCTGAGATGCCTTCCATTATGATAGAAGGTCGAGGCGTACAGCTTCTTAATCCAATATGCAAATCCCGCTCGTCTTCATCCTTGAACGTATCGTTGCAAATTGGACAATGTATTGGCTTGCGGTGACATCGTGTGACGTGCTGTTTAACATCGCGAACTCTAGCCAAAAAGTATCTATAACAGTCCCTATAACGGACCGGATCTTTCTTGGCGTACGGGCAGGCTAGCCACAGCCGACGGTCCTGTGCTCGTCGTTTTGTAAAACTCCTCTGGCTCTGCTTTTCCCCAGTATTCGTCGGGGCATAGTCCGATAAGCGGCTTCGTTTACGCGGTCCGTCATTGTCACGCTCAAGTTCACCTAGTTCAAATGGTGTTTCAGTGCTGTCGATTGCTACAGCGCTCTCATCCTGCTGACGCCCCCACGGGCCCTTATATGCTGCCATGACCACCTGTAGGAACGAGCTCTTCCACTCGAATAACGGGTGTTCTTCTTCAATTGGCGGTGTATCCGCGGAACAGATCGAATTTGTTGTTTCGGAATCGTCAGCTTCCCATAGAAATGTAGTGTCATATCCAGACCGTCCCATCGTCTTGTGAACGAGGAAAACTTGACAAAGCGCTTCTCACCAAGACGGTGCCATGGTTTACGAGGCAGCAACACCTTCTATACGAGGAGATGCGCAAAATAGTAGTTTAGTTCACTATGATTCGTCCTACACGATCCCGTAGTGGACAATATCGGCTTTTGTGGCGACAAAGTTCGCGGAAACACCATCTCATACAGGTCTACGAATGGCTATTTTGCCTATGCGGCTCAGCATATATGAGGTACCTAATGCATGCAGAGCACTACAGTGCTCTTATGCAAGTTTGTTCTGGTGACCCGGATCTTGGCCCTCCGTTATTGGATGATATGTCGTTCACTCCGCATTAGCACGGTTGCCTTATACCGGGACCGACCGCGTCACACGTCCGTAGATTTGAGCCGCGTTCCATGATTTCGACGGAGATGTTGCCTTGAATTTATCTTCCCCGTATCTCTTCTTTTCCATTATCCCCCGTCCCGTCCCCAAATCCAAGTGACGGCGACGGCTTACTATGAGTTGCGGCCGTATCTAACTACCCCGAGCCTACCGTCATCTCTATAGGGAACGAGTTAGGAATTCAGGCCAATCGCAGCATGCTTCCTCCTTTAATTTCACAGCGATATTACATTTTGCTATCACCGGTAAGGTAAGCCAATATGAAGTAACCAAGCGATCGTAACGGACTTAGGGCCTTCAAGCATCTGTGTCTCGCATCTTCCTATCGTTCATGTAATGAATAAGCGCGTTATTAGCATACAGCTGTCTAGCTCACGCATTGAGTCTGCTGGGTGAACTTTATACGCCCCAAACCCGTGCCGGCAACGCTTAAAATCTCTCTTTCGTGATGGTGGAGTGCTAATTTTCTGTGGGATTTAATATAAATAGGAACTTTTTTCACCCATGGTTCTAAGAAAGCTATTTAGGAGTGGCACAAGCCGAGAGATTACGATTAATATAGAACTTTAATTAAGCAAACGAAAAAGTTTAGCTGTGACGGGTTTATTTGAGGGAACTTTATAGTTGCTAAGAGGTACCTAACCTAAGGTAGGTACCTACAAGTATAGAATATCTTCTTTACTTTTTTGTCAATTCGGAGCTATTTGCTATCGATAATAGCCTAGGTTGGGTATAATTATAGAACGTGTCTTTATCTTATCGACAGGCTCGAGTGGCGAAAGAGAAATTATCAAAAGTTCGGGTCACGTTCTCTCGGATAGCTATTACATTAGGTACCTAGGTAGTAAACAGCATGCGTTGAACAAATCGATGGGGGTTGCGGTATCTACAACTCGTGGTTGAATGATTGGCTCATAACCTCATACAACTAACTTATTACTGAAGTCCAATGACCCCAATGACATCAGAAGATGTATCCCGTTAGGTCCGAGTAAATGAAACTTGGGGGCCCTGTGTGACAATATGCGAGGCGCCCTGAAAGCTTATCTGGAATTTTTGGAGTGAAAATGCGGTACCAATGCGGTACCAATGCGATACATTGACCGGAAGCTTTGATCAGCTGCTATCTTTTGCTAGTATCCAGGTACCGGCATGTGTACTATGTACAATACAGGTAGGTTAGGTACTCCTTTATCGATCGCAGGGGTTTTAACAGGCAAGGTCAGGCCAAACAGACTAACCAAAACCACCTTTTGAAAATCCCGACCTTACTCACTACCTTACCTGCTTACCTACCTGGTACCTACCTTACTAACTACCTCCCTGTAACCTAAGCTTTACCAAACCCTTGAGCCTATCCCACTTTACATTTAGAGACCCTCGACTTTCTTCCTCCAGCTACCTGCCAGACTGCCAAACTACCTCATACATAATAATCAGCCCCCCCAAAAAGCCATCTCCGAAAGGTGTCATCGTCATCCAGATATCCAATCTATATCTCCAGGCCAAAACTGCGAGCTGGTCATCCCAGCCCAGGGGTAACTCAGCCGCTTTAGGGGTTTTACAATATTCTATTCTATCTTGATACTTAACGTCATTCCTTCGATAACCAAAGGGAAATCCTGGGATATCAAAGTCCTTGGAACCTATCCTTAAAATCGCATCCCACGACAGAATAGAGTATCCCGCCAAAAAAAAAAAAAAAAGTATCATCATGGCTACAGCTCCGCCCACCGCAAATATTGATGAGGACGTCCCTCAAAATGAAGGATCTAAATTGAAAACCTTTATCTCTATCCTTAGAAAGTAAGTTAGCATAAACTTGTTGAATGCTCTTATTCCTCTCCCCTTAAAAAAACCCCCAAGGGAAAATACAAACTCACCGCCACCGTTGGTATTGGTATCCATCCATGATCGGAGCCACCTGGAGATGCAACGACATGCGCACTTTGAACCAGTCCACTTCCAAATTCACGTCTGGTGATAGTAAAAAGTCATACTAACGTACTCTCTTCGTATCCTAGGTTCATAGGTGTTGCAGATCTTGCCGCAGTTCGATTCTCTCTTCCGTCCCAGCTCCTCGAGCCGACACCCAACCTGGAATACTGGAATTATCTCGACAGCCCCAACGCGTTTGCCGCAATAGGTACATCCGATGAACCTTTAGATCGTATGCTCGAAGTCCTACGTTTCTGGTTCACCAAAGACTTAAAATATGTTAAGGGAAAGCCGTGCAAACCGTATAATTCTTGTCTGGGAGAATTCTTCCGGTGCAACTGGGAAGCAGAAGATAATGCGCCACGAATCGATACCAAGAGTCTCTTAGCTACTAACGGCGGTAACGCTAGCAGTGCATCTTCGATCAAGTCATCCAAAGCTACCAGCGATCCACGAACGGCCTCTACCGTATCTGTCGCCCAGACTGCCGCCAATCCTTCGGGACCTACCGTCCGGATATCTTACTTAACTGAGCAGACCTCACATCACCCGCCCGTCAGCGCTTTCTACGTTAGCTGCCCTGAGAAAGGGTTACATGCAAAGGGGTTCGATCAGATCAGCGCCAAGTTCACCGGTACCACCATCAAAGTCTCTCCGGGCGAGCATAACCTGGGTATCTTCATTACTCTCGAGCGGAGGGACAACGAGACATATCAGTTAAAACATCCTGCTGCACATCTTGGAGGAATCTTCCGAGGTTCCTTGAGCGTCAGCGTCGGTGATTTTGCATATATTACGTGCCCTCAGACGAAGTTAAAAACAATTCTTCACTACATCGAGGATGGGTGGCTTGGCCGCGCGCAAAACAAGATGGAGGGTGTCATTTTCAAGTACGATCCGGATAAAGACGACAAAACACGCATTAAAGATGTCCCAGACTCGGATGTTGTGGCGAGACTAGGCGGTGCGTGGAAAGATAGAATTGTCTTTACCCTCGGTCCCAAACCTGTAGTAAGTAGCTTACAGCATATCTCGCATCCCCCACGATAAAACGTCCAGATGTTGACATTCTCTATCCTAGGAATCGCATCCCCCCGAAAAGCAAGTAACCATCATTGACCTTAACCCGCTCACCGTGGCTCCTAAGGTTATACCGCCGAAGGAGAAACAGGCGGAAAACGAGTCGTTAACGTTATGGGACGGCGTGACCCAGGCCATACTAGCGAAGCAATACTCAAAAGCTACTAATGTCAAAGTAGAACTTGAGGAAAGGCAGCGGGAGAAAGCCCGAGAACGTGAGCGCAAGAACGAGACATGGAAGCCGGTATTCTTCGACCAGGCCACGGACAAACGAGGGACCCCTGATCTCACAGAGAAAGGTCGCCAAGTCCTCGAAAGAGCGCAGAAGGGAGATTGGAGTTTAGAGGGAATCATCTAGAGTAGACGGCATCCTTCGGCATTAGAAACATAGCGACTGGGTAGGCCGTCAACGTTTTACACTACATAATAGTCCTTGGGTTACGATACAACATCACTTTTTTTTTGGATGGTTTCGCTCACATATATATGCGCATACATTTACCAAACCATAGGGATATAGCATAGCGGCTTTGGACAAAGCCGCAAGTGGAGTTCCGTGCATTCGCTCGATGTCTTCTTGTTTCTCGGGCAGACACAGTTCTGAAGTTCCAGCGGCGTTTAGGAGCATGTAGAAGGAAGCTGATAGATAGGTCTTCCCAAGTTTTTATCAAAACTCTACTATTTGGCCGGGGCATACTCAGCACGAACCCTCGTTTTATTTTATTTTTTTTACTTTTTTCATAACCGCACAGATCCTTAACAGCGTTTGAGCATACGTTAATCATTCATTATAGAGAGATTTATTTCTATTACGCCATTCAAATTTCTCGATTCCATTCATCCTTGAAACTCAATCGCTGTAGCTTAGGTATTTACCGTAACATTGGAGAACAGCGAGGAAATATGGAGAGGTCTAATACCTTGAGTTCGGATGAGTACAATAATACACATGTACCGTAATCTTCAGGATACACCTAGGGTTTTGTCATTGAGTTTTATGCCGTCTTATATACCTCCTAGCATTTATCAATGCGCCTCAGCCTTCATCATGCCTGCAACTTCGAGGTCCGCGGTAACCGTGACCTCACCCGCAATCGCTAAGTCCTCCATACCTCTAGCTCTTCTCGTATTAATGTCAAAGATACGGTCACAGAATTTTTAAGAATCACCAAGCTACTTACCGTTTTTGATAAGACATCTCGAATCTTCGTGAAGGCCCTGCCCTCGTAATTCCCAAGAAATGGCATCGCAGACTGGTTAAAGGCAGCAACGTGGTCAGTCCAAAAGAAAGCTCGGTTCAAAAAGCAGGACAGGTTCGTCAGACTCGGCTACCTCGGCAGCTGGCGACTCTGCCATGGCTTCTAGTGCTGCCTTGCTTGCGGAATACAACACGGTTATCGGCACGTATTCCTTGGCTGCCAAGCTGCTGCTACTAACAATGATGCCGGAACGGTACCACGTATAACGGTCCGAAGATGCAAGTTTAAAACTGGAGATAGATTTCTCTCTCGCCGTGTGGTTTCAGTTAAAGTTTCTCTTAGCAGCGATGAAGTTAGAGGTACATAGAGACGAAACCGGAATTCATATATAGACGAAACTTGCTTAATTCATTTGCTTGACGATGCCAAAAATTTAGGAAACCCGCATGGCCAACCACGGTACTTACAGTCTGTGGTATCCTTATAGGCGGAGATAGCAACGTCAACCCCTTTAGTTGGCATTGTTATACCTTTTGGCAGCGTAGCAGTTTCAAAGTTATCTCCCCAAACCCTTACATCTGTATTGCATTTCTAATTCGCTACCGCTAGGGTTATACGGTTCGATAAAACCAGGGCGAGTAGGTGACAAAGACTGATACTATTGAAGAAGCTTTCAACCTACCAATACCATGAGTGCTCGTGCACGCAGTGGCTCATCCAGATCCGACGTGCTTCACCTTTATAATTAGGATTCGCAATGATCCAACTATCCTTCGGTGGTAACCCGGTCAGTACCTAAGGTATATAGTATATACCTAATCGTTGAGAGGGGCGTTTTGAGAACTGACAGGTATTAGTGTATAAAGTATGAAGCATTCCTAATTTTTCCCCTTCAATTTTATAAAAGGTAAGTTACAGCATCGGCTTCGAGATATCAATATTGAAGTACGCCCACTTAGCAACCTCTATTGCCCGAAATAGTCAATTGCCTTTCTTTAATTTAATACGTGGTGATGGGGTAAGCAGGTCGCTCGGTTGACCATTACCTCTGCCAATAAGAACCACAAACACAAAGCTAAGCTGCAAAGCAGAATAGATTGAGTTATCCCAAAGCGAACATTGATAACTGACAAGCTTGGATAGGGACATATATACAAGGATTCCGAGGGCTTTGCAATTTCACCTACCAATGGGGACTTGCGACCCGTTGCTTGTAGAGAAACAGAACCCCGAAATTGTTGATGGGTAGGGGCATATATCACTATCAGGTAGGCTTATCTCGGTTGTCGTGGGGGATCCGTTGTTACATTGTATTTTCAGCTGTAATCGCGTATGTCCTATATGACCATGCAAACAGGTAGGTAAGACAGAAATCAAATCGGATAAGCCGACGCCTCAGCCAGATCTGCGGTGTACGAGTGCTTATTGAGCGAGTTATTCAATAAGATAAGGTGGCTTACGATAATACTAGAGTAGTAGTCTCAACTCATATGCTGTTGACTGCAGAATTTTCCCACAGCCTCGTTCTCGATTCCATATAAATATCTGGTTAATCTATTTGATATGTTATTCTTGCTCCCGGAAAGTTATAACCTTAAGCCCATAGATTGTCCTCCCTTTGGTTCTGATTCGTCTTTTCGAAAGGGGTATTCAATTTGGCAGGCATATCTCCTAATTTGAGCCGCTTCATCTGTAGGGTTGGGCTGTACCTATACCTGCTATCATGATGTTCAATAAAACGCAGACGAGAACATGGCTGGGGGCATTCGTACCAGAATCATCATCATACCTTTCCTTCTTGTTAATATTCTGTTCGATAACGCAATCAACTGTGAGTAAAACCTCAGGCCTTAGGTAAAAACGATTCGCTAATTATAGGGGATATTTTCTTGCGAGTAGACCACGGGATATGATGGCTCCATGTTGAACGGGCTGAATATTTTGCCTTCCTATACGAATTATTTCGAACTAACACCCGCGACAACAGGTCTAAATACGGCCTCTGTATTCATCGGCGGCATTCTCGGTACGATTATCTCCGGCATTCTGACTGATAAACTTGGTCGGCGTCCGGCTATGTTTTGGGGGTCCGTTATAACTGTTATCGGTACGGCTATCCAGGCAGCGGCTCAAAATATCGCCATGTTCGTTGTCGGGCGTATTATTTTAGGTTTCGGATCTTCTCTCTCGGGCGTATCTGCAGGCGTATTTCTCTCCGAGACCTTTCCTAGCAGCCTACGTGCTTGGGGTCTTGGGATGATGAACGATTTCTATTAGTAAGAATCTACATTTCTCTTGTGACGAGTCTATAATTTCGAATTGAGGCCTGACTGGTGTCATGCAATAGCGTAGGAGCTTTAGTGGCATCTGGGGTTACTCTAGGAACTGGACAATGGCAATCAACAGTAAGAAGACCGATTCGAACGATATATTAAATTACAGCCCAGCTGACTATATCATGTTAAGTGGGCTTGGCGACTGCCATCGCTAATACAAGGGGTTTTCTCGCTTCTTTGCATTATCATACTACCCTTCGTGTAAGCTTCGCCGCTTGCCTGTGTCTTAACCTATCCTAACCAATCGGACAGTCCAGAATCACCGAGGTGGCTTTGCCATAAAGGATATTACGAAGATGCACGAATATCCGTAGCTCAAACAAACACTAATGGCGATCTGCTAGACCCTGTGGCTATCGCGGTGTATAAGGAGATCCTCGATGCCCTTGAGTGGGAAAAGAAAGAAGGCCGAACGATAAGCCCAAAGGAGATTATCAAGACCCCTACCTTGAGGAAGCGACTTCTTATAGGAATGTCTGCAGCGCCCTTTTCATGTGTTGCTGGCAACATCATCGCCTCATACTATTTAGGTGCCGAGCTTCAGACCGCCGGTATCACCAATTCAACTGACCAGTTGAAGGCCGTAAGAGCTACCCTTATCTCTACCGGGTTTGCAAATTCGCTTACATCGAACAGAATGTCGTGTTAAACGTGTGGTGTCTCTTATGTGCTTTAGTCGGTACACATATGGTGTCTCGATGGGGCCGAAAGCCTACAGCCCTTGTGTCGGAAACGCTTCTTGTCATATGCCTATTCATAATCGGCGGACTTTCTAAACTCTATGCCGATAACCCGATGGGTGCTTCTCAAAGCCTCGTATATGGAAATGTCGCGGTGATGTTCCTGTTCCAAGGGTTTTATTCTATGGCTTGGACGCCATTGCTTTTCCTCTATCCTCCGGAGGTCTTTTCGGGTACGTGAATGCGATTTTGAGCTACTAATAAACTTATTGCCCTTATTTACCTATTATTACATCACCTAGGCTTTCTCCGGTTTGTGTACTAATGAATATACAGTTCGTAATCATCCCTACCTTCCCTCGTCTACGGTACCTAGACCTATCGAGGAAGAATTTAGATCCCAGGATATAAAGGGGCAATGGAGAGACAATTACTAATACCTGATACTCGATAGTACTCCATTAGAGCCAATGGCCTGGCTGCTTCGACGCTCTCTTTAAACACGCTCGCGTGAGTTTCTGAGTTTTAACACTTAATATCGGCCCTGACATTATTTTCCAGGTGTGTGTTCGTGTTCATCATGCCCATCGGTCTCAGTAATATAGGATGGAAGATGTATATGGTTAACGGTTCTTGGGATATTGTTATTGCTATACTTATCGTGAGTATTGAATCCCTAAGGTCTCGATTAAATTACATTGCTAATCACCTACTTCCACTGTGTACAGGCGATATTCTGGGTGGAAACCAAGGGCAAGACACTGGAAGAGATAGACGCCTTATTTGAGGGAGAAAAGCACTCGTCCGTCCCTGATGTCGAACAGATTCGAACGGGACGAGCTAAGCTTGACGTTAAGACAATAGAGCCATTGTCGATCTAGTCCAAGCTCTGCTCACTAAGTTTGCCAATGGGCGTTATTTTCTTTTGGATGGGTTGGATGGGAATAGAGTAAAGGAGCTTTCACAAGATAGGTAGCTTAAATGATAAGAGATACAGTAGGTTAGGGAGGTAGCTTGGTATCTACAGGTAAGCGAGAAAATGGATAGGGAATAAATCAACCTGCATAAGGTATACAGTAGTTTATATATAATAATCAATTGCTATATTGCCGTTACATAGGCTCATACCCTGTTATAGAGAGACAGTGGCTCATACGTTCCATTTGACAATCTAGAGCTACGATACTAGGTTGTAATATATCTCCAGTGAATGCACGTTTGCCCAATTATACTTCAACCCGCTTGTTAGCCTAAATGATCACGCCTAGTTTAATATTACTAGCTGGTCTTTCTATATTCTATCACATTTATGTATTATGGTATTCTGCAGTCTGATTTTGAGGTGGTCAAGAGTGTCCAAGACTAGGATTTCAGGCTATTTTCACACATCGTCCGAGCTGGCCGGTGATAGGAAGTACAAAATCTAAAGCTAGCACAAGGGACGACGCTCCATTATAGGGGAAACCTTAGATATGTGAAGAACAGGTTAGGTAAATATAAACAAGAGGAAGACCCTTCAGCATGGTACTAGGTATGCTTAGCCTCATGGGGCTATAGAAATAGAGCATAGCGAACATCTTGCCAAGCCTTGAAACTTGGAGAAATATGGGCTCTTCTTCACTAGATGCTTCTATCCACATGGAGGACCAGGGATTATGCTACTCCAAATGCAGTTATACTCCCCATTGTCCCAGTTAAACTTTGGAACGTAACGGGAATTAATATAGCGATGCGGAGAAATTTAAATCGACTCGGCGGGGTTAATTAACACGAAGGTCATTCTTGGCAAACGACTTATAAGACGACTTATAAGACAGGTACCTACTTCTTATAAGTAGGGCCGTTGAGATGGCACTGGCAAGATGATCAGACCAATATCGCGCATGCGTCTCACGTTGCTCTCTACGACGAATAGATATTCGGTCTAAACATGCGCTTCTCCAGCAGAATACTGCTGCTCGGTGCAGTCGCAGCTCAAGCAAAGTATATCGTGCCCGGGGGAAGATGGCGAGATACAGAAAATAATTTGGTCAATGCCCACGCAGGTAACGTTGTCTTTGAAAATGGCACGTTTTGGCTGTTCGGCGAGTATAAGGTTGAGGGGCAGGAAGAGGGTGGCGGCGTATCTGTTTACAGCTCAGAGGACTTGGCTACTTGGACCTCACACGGCCTTGCTTTAGGTACATCGTAGTCAATGGCAGGGGAATGGTTGAGCTTCATGAGCTAACGAGCAGGATAGAGCCGATCTCCTGGCATCCTTTCATTTCGCCTAAAAACATCATCCAACGACCCAAGGTGGTGTACAGCGAGTCTACAAGCCAATATCATGTAGGCGATCTCCACCCCTCCCCCAACAAAAAAAAAAAGAAAAGGAAAAAAAACGATTAGGTCATCTCATTGATGTTAATGGGGTCTATTAGATGTGGTGGCACGCCGACAATGCCACATACGGACGCTTACTACAAGGACTCGCAGTTTCAGATACGATCGCCGGGCCTTATAGATTTGTTAGTGCCCAAGCTCCTATGGGTAATTGGTCACAGGATTTCGGCATGTTCACCGACTATAAAGACGGCAAAACATACGCGCTATACTCTAATGGCGATAGTGTAGAGGGTCGAGACGTTTATTTGGCTTCCTATAACAAGGACATCACTACCTTGGAAGAGGTCGTCTATCGCTTTGATAAGTTCGACCTCGAAGCTCCTTCTATTGTACAGACCGAGCATTCCTATTATGCCTTGTTAAGTCATAAAACGGGATACAGGCCAAATAGTGAGTATATTTTCTGCATACTTCGCCCCCTTTTATTTTGCGATATCCTCCAAATATTCGCACAAATTGTGTTAAACTTAGGCATCTTTAGATGTCGTTGCCTTCCGGGCAGATAGCTTAAGTGGTCCCTGGTCTCAACCTTGGGTTGTTGCGCCACTTAACACGCGTACTTTCAATTCCCAGTCGGGATCAGCGTTGAGAATAGCAGGAACTGAAAAGATAACATACTTATACTTGGGCGATCAGGTGAGTTGCTTCCTCATAGCGAAAATTCAAGGTGAGTCTAACTAATAGAATACAGTGGGATTCCAATTCTCTTTGGGAATCTCGATATATATGGCTACCCATAAATATCGACGACGATAAGAAAACACTTCAGTTGGAATGGCATGATGTTTACGACCTAGACGTGTATGTGTTAATAGCTTCCACTCCTGTGCAAATGTCTACCTAGTACCTAACCCTAACGTACTCTCGTAGGAAAACTGGAAACTGGAAGTCAGTAGAAGGCACTACTTACTCCGCGAAAGATGCAACAACAAGCGGCAACGCGTTCAAGCAAGAGGCTGTGAGTTTATAGTGCCAAGAAGAGAGTTTCACTTCTACCGACCTACTGACGCTGCTCTGTGCTGCAGAACTTCGCTGCTGATGGAGTTATCTTGACCGGGATCGAAGGGAATGATAGTACAGTTACCTTCCAAGGTATCGAGGGGACAGGAAAACCTCAATGGGTTTCATTCTACTACCAAAGTCAGTAAATAATTCGAGATTACTTTTTACGGTCATATTCTAACAGGGCCAAAGACACCGACGATATGGGTTTTGGAGATCAGCGTGAGTTTAAGGGTTTGTCTTGATTATTATCCAATTATTAACTAATATTTTATAGCCGGCGGCTCGCCAGATAGAATCGGGGGTTCTTGGCAATTGCGCCGCATTTCCAGCGTTGTCGTGAATGGGAAGACAGAGAACGTCGAGACTCTATACCAGAGGGATACCCACAAAGGAATAATCTTATCGACGCCGCTCCAACTTACTCTTGAGGAGGGGTTGAACAATACCATCACAGTGGGCGGACTTTATAACGGGTTCCATTATAAGGGTGCCGATCTGGATAGGATCGTTGTTTATCCCCCGGAAAGTTAGAGATACAAGGACGAAAATATGATCGGTAACATATCAGACGCCAAACAAGCCTGTTTATCATATTAACCCGAAAACTGTCTCACGATACCATGGCAAGCACATATAAGAAACTTGTACTCGTCCATCGTGTTTAATCACAACGTTTTAAGGTGATTGGAGGGCCGTCTACTATACTTGTATTTCTCAATATATCCCCAACGGACAATTTCCTTGGCTTATCTCCGTCATCATAGAACTTATTGTTTAGCTTGACGTTATGTATCTATCACGACACTAGCATGTATTATCATGGGACTATACTTTGCTGTATAGGGACCACATCCACTCAGTCGGCTCGCGTAACCGACGCGGCCGGCCTGGGGATGCCTTTCTCTAGATCGGTAGAGTTTCCGTCAACTTCTTTCATTAGAGTTGGGGCATCACTATTTTCCTCAGCTTCAACTCTTTCTCTATGTCTCTGGGCCCTTGCGACGCGGCGTTCGTTTTTCTCCTGGTCTTCGCGCATTTGCCGGATAATGGTACTCTTGGAGCGAATCTTTTCACCGTACCGATAAAAGATGATAGGGATAGGAATCATGGCAGCTTCTAACAGGCCCAGAAGCGTGCCTGCCCACTGCGGAGTCAGTTTTGCATACATAGAAGGCCCGGCGAGAGGTAGAGTGCCGCCAAATAAACTACGAGTTACGGTATTACCAGCCAGTGCAGATGCAGCGTAGATACCGTACGCACCAGCTAGGTAGTTAGAACCGTATATGAAGCTCAGTGTATTACCTGCGCCGAAGGGAATGCCGAAGGCGATAGGGATAGCCCAATGGATGGTTGTGGGCAGGCAGGTCCAGCTGAAGACGAGCTGGCCGATGGGAGCAAGTATAGCACCTATTATCATGACACGCGCTGTCGCTTCAGGGGGCGCACGACCAGTAGCAGGGTCCTTCGGGTGGGAGTTGATAATTCTTCGCCATAGAGGCTCAGTGACAATTGCAAAAGTGCACCCGATCCCGATTCCAATGAAGGCGAGACCCGAAGTGCCCGGACCCCAGCCGCGATGCTGGGAAAATACGATGGGGTAGGCAACGAAGCAGAGATAGAGGATGCCATAGATTAGGGAAATCCTAGTATGGGATGTTAGCGGCTTGATACAATTTTAATGTTTATCTATCTGATCCTTTACGTCTGAATTATGGATGGGATGCTTTCGAGAGAAAAGGAGATGTATTAAGTTGCGATACGTACCGAGGCCCCGGCATCCCCATAGAAGTTTTAAGTTACCTCGGTAGCTCACAATGTAGCAAGATCACGTGGCCTACTAAAAATAACTTCAGGTACGGGATCGGTAGCATAGCTCAGGCACTCCACCTTTTAGTCTTTCGGAGGTACGTACCTCACGAAGTACCTAGTGTACCTACCTTGTCGGTAACATTATGCATAAAGCGTAACGCTGCAGTTCAAGGAGTTCAAGGTGTGAAATGATGAAATGCAGGGAAATTGTTCGATACGCTTGATAACAAGTAAAAATAAAGTAAAAATAAAATAAAATTCAAACACATACCAGACGTTAAAAAGCCATAGAATGGGTTCTTTGATAAAAAACTCGAGTGGTCTTAATAAATAAACCTTCATAAGTGCCACCTTGGATAGCTTCTGGTCATATCGACACCACCATCTTTCATCGTCGGTCTCCTTGCGCTTTTTTGCCGCTCTCTTCTGAAGGATGATAGGGGCGTACGTCTCCTTGGTGAGAAACATGAAAACAATACCAAGTCCAGCAAGTATTAGAACAAGCCAGTTATCCCATCTCCAACCCAAGTATTGAAAAACATAACCGCCGATCACTGGACCTAACCTACGTAGGAGTCAGCATTCCAATCCCATCCCATTTTACATATGATGAGGGCTCGGGCTCATACACTGGACCGTTCAATGGAGCAGTCGAATATAGCGACATGAATAGAGCACGAGTCTCTTCCGTAGAAATATCCACGACGGTCCCCGGACTGTTGGCTATCATTGCGCTCCCGAACAGCGCACTAATATTTACCACGGTTAGCACTCCTCCAAAGTGAATTTATGGGCTCCGATCACCTACGCAAAGAATCTAACCACAAGGATCTCAGCCAGCGAAGTTGCTAAGCATGTTGGGATAACCATGGCTGCGAAGCCGATCAAGCAAACAATATACACGGGCCTGCGCCCATAGAGCTCGCTTGCCGGTGCCACGAGTAAACTACCGGTAGCAAGGCCAAACATATAAGTCGTAACCCCGAGCGTCACTATAGTAGTAGAAGAACCAAATTCATCTACCAAACCAGGAGTGGATGCCGTGTAGCTAGTGCTGTAAAGAACGATCACCCATGACGCAAAGCTAATAGCGAAGATAATGCACTATGATCACAAGAGTTAATGATGGCTTCTCTTGATAAGCAGCTTTTAGAAACCAAGCAAGACATATTTAAGGAGTCAATAGCAGTTTAATTAGCTCGATGAAACGATATGGTCCCTTAAGACGCATAAGAGGGGAAGAGGGATTGTCAATATCACATACAGACCGGTACCACAACGGCCAGTACCGAGGGTTATCTGGGTCATTCTCCTCAAACGAAACCTCGTACTCTGGGAACCGCGATGCCGCTGTCCCGACACTGGTAACCGTACGCACACGAGCGACCTCCTCGAAAACTTGCACTCCAGGTGAGATCGCCAACTCTAGCGGCGACAACGGATCTGTATCTTCAGATACTATTGATGCATGGCTCGAGTGACTCGAATGCCTATGCTGACTTTGTTTCTCGTCAATCGAGTTCTCGCGCGTCTCTATACGCTCCAGCTCTTTCTTGTCCACACCAAACCTGTTCATTGCATCTTGATGACTTCCCATTTCCGCGTCGAATGCGTGCAACAAGCGGGCGATCGCGGGGAAGAAAAGCAGGAATAACTCCCAGGGGCTTGTACACCGACGTCTTATGAAGACCAATAGGGATAAAGTCAGCCACCAATACCAAGACCAACAACAATGGATAGCAGGACAATATATTTTGACAGCCTGTCGACTTGAGGAAATGAATCGAAATGTCTCAATGGGGCGGCATAAGGGTTGGAGCCTAAGTGGAAGCAAACCAATTATTTACAATTGAAGAGTAAGTCGGAGACAACTAGGTTAGGTACCTCTTTAGGAGGTAGCGGTTAGGAACAAGCTCCTATCATCGGCCTTTTTGCGCAATTTTACCTACCTGGTATATCACACCGAAACCATTGATAGATCCTCCGGGAATAAAAAAAAACTTATGTATAAGGCTACAACGGTGACTTGATATCCACTACCAACCTCGGTAGAATGGACCTCTATGAGATAGATGCGTTTTTCATGCAAGTGGGCATGCATGAGTGGCCCGTCAGATTGGGCGGCAGATGTCGACATGCCTCTTAGCGGCAGAATCCCATAATTTTCGAGATCACATCATTTTTCTACTCTCACACACCACTACTTACCTAGCCAGCTCCTCTCCGATGCCGAAAGTCGAGATACTCATTTCAGCTTCTTACATATCAGTACATAGCTGCATTATATCGCATCCCGATAGAATATTAATCATATCTATCATGAGTAATTTGACTAGTGAATTGTCACGGCCATTGATTTAAAGAGTTTGATATCCAGATATCATTGCGGATTGGTATACGCTAATGCTCTACTAGGAAGGTCGATGGATTTTTCATTCTTCCTTCATCATGAACACTTTCGAGGATCTCAACGGGGGCTCACTTATGCATACAATACACAACGACTACATTTTAATGCTCAAGCGCATCCGCTGAGAAAATATGCCGAGGTAAAATATGCCTCTAATAGGTGGGGTCGAAAAGGAATCCTTAGCTGATGCTCAGAACTTTTGATCTTTTACGTATTATGTATTATGACGTATTATAGCTCACTCCTGGTTTATTTTATAATTCTCATGTTCTATTTAAACATCGTTTGCGAAGGAGTGTTTAGGTAAGGGATCGTTAGCTTCTGATGATTGTACAATGCATATCGAAATAGGTATACCGTTACTAACCGGACTAAATGCGTTGACTTGGTCGATCAATGAGGGCTCTAGGTAGCTGATACAGGTACCGATTCGGCAAAATCAAACTGTGAATTTTTTTATTTTATTTTTTTTAAAAAAAAAAGAAATACCTAGAAAGAAAAGTATTGGCAGTGGCGACGGAAACCTTAACAGCCAACGTTGAAGCTGGGTTCCGAAGCACTTTTGCTTGGCATACAAAACGCGCGTTCAGGCAAGGAGGTAGCTGAGCTGCTGTAAGTGGCGGTTTTAAAGTGGCTGGCACCGAGCATTTTCAAGTCGCGCCAACCATGCATCCCACGTGGCAGTTAACATCGGCCAACACATTTTTTTTTCTTTTCTTTTCAGGGAGTATCATTGGTAAGATCATTGGTAACATCGCCTTTTCTCTCATAGTCAATATTCATAGGCTACCATCAGAATTCATACAGTTCATACAGTTCATACGGTTCATACAGTTCATACAGTTCATACGGTTCATACAGTTCATACAGTTCATACAGTAAGTGTATATTATATATCCAACTGTGGGTGACTCACTTGAATCTGTGTCTAAGATCATCTCGTGCCTTGTGGATCATCCCCTAGAATTCTCGAAAGGATATTGGGTATTAGCGGTAGGTACCTAACCTAACATGAACGATCTCGCGAAATCTATAAAAAAACACAACCATGCATCAGTGACGCCTAACTCGAAACTTTAATCTAGAAATTGCTTTTGAGGATCTACGTGCACCAATGGAAAATATGATTTACTGCCTACAGCTGTTATATAGATGCATATTGAAAAAATAAGGAGGGGTGTAATGAGCGAGAGGTTGGAGAAAGGAGAGCGACAACCTACGTGTGGACAAACATGATTGGATGGCTAAGCCGCGGGGCACTTGGAGCTACGTCACGCGTAACCAGAATAGGAAACGTCCAAACAATCAAGAGTCGTCTAGTCTCCACGGGAACCAAGTATGTGAATGGTTTGGATTGGTGTTTACCTAGTGCAGACACCCGCGACGCGACCTTTATCAGGGCTCTTATTGCTGCAATAATACCCTATTGGGCTCATTTATATCATTTACATTCCACTGCATCAAGAGGAATCATATTATATGTAAGCTTGCATTCGCATTTCTCTCTACCTCTCTCGCTTCTTACAAAGTAAGTAAGTTATAATCGGGTTTACAAAATGGGAGACGATCAAGATCTTCCCATCGCCTTACGGCGCACGCCGCGGACCAGAGTTGGCGCGGCGGCAGGATTGTCGGGCGCATCGCGGTTATCTGCAACCAATACCGCTTCGGAGGTAAACGCAAGGACGCCTAAGCGACAGAGTAAGAAGAGGGTCCGGTTTTCAGACCCTGGCCCGAATGTCGAACACCACGATGCATCGTCAGCAACGGGACTTACACCAATGGTTCAGCGAACATCACTCAATGTTGCTCCTTCGCCCAAACGTAGACGTTATTCCGCGCCTTTCTCTCGGTCCCAACAGGGTGGAGAAGATGGCCTGTATGGCAATGGCAGCAGCAACGAAATACGTTTCTTCTCGTTGCGTCAGGTCCTCGATGATCGCGTCAAGCGACGCATTCGTCGAAACGGACTCAGCGAGGAAATGAATATCATCAGTCAAGAGAAGCGGCAGCGCGTTCAGAAGCAGAAGGTCGAGTTGCAACGTCTTCAACACGAACTAGAGGAGAAGGATCGGGAAATCGATAGACTACAAAATACCACGATGGCCCAGGACACCGACCGAGTCTTAGAGTTGGAGCAAGAGATTCAATTGCTTAGAGAGGAATTAAGCAGTCGAACTTCGTCAAATGGCGACCAAACACGGAACTACGACTGGACATTGGCCGCTCGTGATCCGTTCTCGGATAGCTACATGGATGCGGATGATGATCATCATGATAACCATGATAGGCATGATAATCATGTTGATGAAGCTTTTGGGGATGCCACGATGGCCGATCTGATATGCAGTACACCGTCCAGGAATCGCGCATCAGCTTCGTTCCCTACGCCGCCCTGCACGAGCCCCACGATCCCCTCGACTCCCTGTTCTCTGCGGAGAAGCGCACCGGTGACGCCACAATCTCATATCGGAATTCAAACAGTACTCCCTGACCCGGACAAAGAGGCCTTAGAAGCTGAATTGGGATCTCTACGCCTTGAATTAGCCAAGTTAACCAAAGTACTCGAGAGCCATGAGGCCTTCAAGGCGCGCATATCTGATAAACTTAACGCCGCCGAGATCCCTACGGAACCTTCAAAGGACGTGGAGACGCATCTAGACGCCGTGCTGCAGTCCCTCTCTGACAAAACGGCAACATTACTAGATCTCAATTCATCATTGAGTTCCCTAGGGTTCGCCGGCAACAACGCGGGTGAGATTATGGCGTCTCTCGCAGGGGCGTTCCGCTCGGCACGTCTAGAACTCGAATACCTCACGCCGGGAGAGATCACTCTTCCCCTATCCTCACGTGGGGCCGAGGTCTTAGACTTGGTGCTCGTCCAGCTACGTAGCCTCGCGCGCCAGGTTCGCGAGAATGAAGAAGCAATTGATGAGTACCATGAGCTCGAGTTGTCATTGCGAGAGCAGCTCAATGCGCGTGTCGACGCGATGGACAGCATGCGTGAACGTAGCCGAGTAGAGCTGGCCGGCAAGGACGAGCGCATCGCAGATCTAGAAGTCGGAATGGAGCATCTGAAGAGTGCTGCTGACGGCTACCGCCGCGACGTCGCCGAATTGGAGAGCCTCGTACAAAGCATGGAAGAAGGCAAGGTCACTGAAAAGCGACTCACAGCTGAGGTCGCAGGTGCGCAGGCGGAGCTCGCTGATAGCAAGGCTACCATTGTCAAACTAGAAGCCAAGCTCGCCTCGGTGCATGAGCAAGCCGAAAACTTCCGCTTACAGCTCGCTGAGCTGCAGAGACGCAAGGCCGCTGAAGTGAAAGCTCTTAACAAATACCACGGGATGGCGCTGGCAGTACGGGATACGCGAGTCGCAGACCTGCGGCGCGCTCTTGACGAAGTAAACAGCAGCTTGCATGAGGCAAACACCACGATTCAGCAGCTGCGCGTAGAAAATATTGGGCTAAACCAGTGCCTAGAAGAGGAGAGAAACCGCGCCATGCAGGCCGTCGACACTATGAAGGCTGATCTCGAGCGCATGGTCAAGATGAGCTCCGAGTTCTTGTCTACTCCGTTAAGGTCGACCACAAGTAGCTTGGGGAAGACCTTGCGTTCCTCGACCAAGTCTGTTGCCGAGAGGGCAGCTGTAAGCGAGTATGCAACGACTCCTGATAGCGGTCCCCTGGGATCGGAGGCTTGCTTCCCTGGCGAGCTAGCGAAGATTAATAGGGGAACCAAAAGGCGCAAGCATGATAGTGGTTTAGGCCTTCTGGATGAAGATGAAGCCGGCAGCGTAGAGCAGCTCTGAGTGCTGTATCCGCGTATCACACGCTGCGTTGCCCAAGGACAGTTCTTTAAGTCGCCATTTTCCCTTTGTATTGTTTTTTTTTTTTTTTCTATTACTGGGGTTTCATCTACGGTGAGGTCTTATCCAGTCGTTGCTAGTATACAGGTACACAGGTATACAGGGGCTAGGGTACAATACTGGAGTTGATACTGGGGAGATGGCTCATGATAGGGATTACAGCATAGGGGAGTATCTGGTTAGGTACCTAACGCATGTCTCAACATCTAATTTTATTATGTATCATTCTGAAATGCTCGTTCTCCAAGTGAACATACGATACTCAAGTATTAACAGTCTTCTTGTAAGGGTTTTCGCGCAGCATTTAACTGATGCGTTTATTGCTGGTTATCACCCCCGGTCCTGAATGCATAGTGCATCTGCAAGGAGGCATCTCCGCTGTGCGAATTTCATTGGGACGCTGCAACATCCTTAGAGCCGATAGGTTAAGGAGATGAAACTTCATCCTCTCGTCCAGTGTCGGCTGCAAGGACTCCGGTTTCGTTACCGACGCAACTCATAAACATATCGCTCATCCATAATACGAAGACTATATGCATCGCTATGGAACGGACCGCACTCATTCCACGTTTCAAGAGCAATTGCCATAGCTATCTATAGAGCTATCAGTGAATACGGGCTCTGACCATATAATAGATTGACCTCCGACATGATCAGCGCTGGGTGTGCGCGTAGTAGAAGCTATAACCACGGGAATTGCCGTCAGTCAAGTCTATGTATGTACGCCTTTGTAGCAGTACCAACGTCAGAGTATAGTCGACACTTGAAGACATCTATAGAGATGGATTCTTCAAGGCTCGAGCCTCAATATCCGTTTACGAACTATGGACCAATAACCACATGAGAAACTAAATGTCAGCCATTGATAATGACGTTGGCGGCGGTGAGATATCTCGTGTTGCGAGGTTGAAAGCGGCCGGCATGGCTGGGAATAGCATCAGCTATGCAGATCTCTAGATATAATTGTTTATATTAAGATCCCCTTAAGGGACCAACAATAAATAATATTTAAGAAATCTGCAAATCTACTGTTACATCGTACGAGAATTCGGACTAGGGGGCAGTCGGCCCCCCATGAGGCATACCAGGGTAAAAAACTGTCAGAAGACCCCTTCTACCACTTCTGGGATTCGTCAAGGATGGAAAAGTGAAAAAAAGGCTTCCAGAAGGAAATGCGAAAAGATCGATAAACCCGAATCATGAAGCACGTCCAAGGACCCTAGATCCCGTTGCGGCAAACATGCCCGACCCTTTGCGGCTCAAATGGTAATGATCGGCGGAACGACTGCTGTGGTCGGTGTGGCAGTGCTATGATGTGACCCGGCGCCCTACGGGATGATGCAACGGCGCATGAGGGGGGTCTCCCGTGCCTTTAGCACGCAGGAACAACGGGATGACGGTGCGAAGGCTCAAGGTAACGGCTGAACACGAGGTATCATGCATTTTGGAGTCGCCGCGCGGAGAATCCCGCGATATTGAAATGAGGTGTTGCTCGCCGCGTTGGCGCGATGGCACAGCTTTGATTATTGTTGAAAGTGAAATTTTCCCCGCCAAAAGCTCCAAAGGGGGGAGGCGGTGCTAGAACCATGTTCTCAGTGCAGTACCAGAGCATCGAACCCCAAGCGGGTGCCGTACAACCAGGGAACGTGGATGGCTTGGCTGCTTAGGTATGTATCTCCGCGCTCATTAAACGTCGCCTCCGGATTCCTGGATACTGGTGATCTGCGGATTCTTACAGGGAACGTGAAAATCATGGTTGAGCTATGATACAAGGGTAATGGAAAAGTCGTCAAAATAGCATGGCAGCATGGATATTGGGTAACTCATTCTAGCTGAAGAGACTACTACGTTGTCATTATGCATCAAGTCGAGCCCGTACCGCAAGGTTCCAGGAGAATTTGTTCTATTCAGTTCAAGTAGTTACCTTGTGTATTGTTTAGTAAAACTAGAAACATAGCTATAACCATGCGGCAGGCCAAACCAGCTGTCGATACAAAGTACTGTGTTAGAGTGTTATCACCGAATGACTTAGCTATATGGAATTCATAGCTGTGCTCCTCAGATAACCCCGTGCGTAGCCCCTTCGAACCCAAAATTATCAAGATTAATTCAGTGGAACGACCCCGCGGGAGAGTTTTCTGCATCTTGCACATGGAATGCAACATAGAATGCCGTTTAGCTCGTCCGAAAGGCTAGGCCCGGCCCCGTTTTCCATTTGGGGCCTAAAAAAAACCGTATGGATAAAATTAGCTGGAACTTCTGTCCGGGACACGCTCCGATGTAAACACCCCGATAAGTTCTCGGCCGATTTAACTATACCCATATCTTAACCGTTGTCGATAACTTACAATGGACGTTAGAATGTGGCTATGCATTTAAATTTCTAAAGCAGGGGGGGTTATAGAAGAGCTATTTCAGGGAGTATCAGGGTCCAATGGGCCCGTAGGCTTCATTTAATGATATCGCGTTGTTTCTCCTCTCATACTCATTGAAGGTTATAAGTTAAGATGGAGCATTCGCGTAAGAAACATTATTCGGCCAATGTCGAAAGTTAACCTAACCTTCTACGTATCAACACGAAGTAGATCTGCAGATCTAATCAGTTTTCCGACCAAATTTACTTCTGACAGTGGTATATACGTAAGGTAGTTCAAGCAACGTAGTTCTTAATGAGTTGTCAAATAAGTCTTATGAAGCCAGGAATCCATGACTGGCGATACTCCTTGTAAACTAATCAGAACCACATCGCGACCGAAATACATCATTCTATCGTCAGTACGTAGCATGGAACCCTTTTTCTACTAACCAAATATAACAAGCGGCGCCATTATCGTGCTCTAAAAGGTATCGTTTACGGACGGAAGCTGCATCGTTTCAATACGGTCGCCCTAGCAATGTGACTCTAGACTCGGTACCGATAAAGCCAGCGCCCTGCAATAAACTCAGGATACAGATAACTGGAGGATAGGTTGCATCGTAAAGCTTGGCATGCAAGACAGACAGACTGTGGAAGCCGGCTAGCAGTAAAATAAGAGCAAATAGTGCTAGACAGTACGCGCAAAAGCAGTTGGTAAAGTGGTGTGGGAAGTTGTGAGGTTATAGTCAACTTAGATTAAGCGGCCGAGCAAGTACCTAACCTATCATCCTTATTTTTAGAGCTTTTACTGTTATGGTTATTGTTGTTGAACGTCGTGGCAGTCTAGAAACTGCCGGCATTGGTAACGCAGCCGAACACGCGGGTGTCAAAGCTTCAAGGTAACAAGTTAACACCAGATATTCCAACAAAAATTATCGAAAAGTCTTACTGCTGGATATGACATGCAGTCATGTCCAGATGCCCTTATATAAGTCGTTGCATTGGTTGAGATTGCCGAGTCTTAAGCCACAATATCCATCAGATGATATCGAAATTATCTAATGGGCCAGTCGGGATGTTTACGTGACGCAATAAGCGTAGCCTTGCTTCATATAAATCATCAGATAGATACTGCAGCAGTTCTAACTACCAGGCTTTTTACCGCCTGCTATTGGGGAAGCGCTTGTTTCATGTAGAGTAATTTAATATGACACGTAGGCGATAACTCGACTGTTTTAAACTCGCAGAAAGCCAAAGGCGTCGAATCAGTCGTACAGCATGCACAATACTTCCACCGTCTACTGGTACCTAGTTAACAGTAATGTTTATGCGACAAAGCGGTGAAAGCGTGACAGCCAAACGTACTACGCCGGTTCCGAACGGGAATAGCTTCGGACTGGTAAGCCCGATGACGATAAAGCACGGCCGGCTATGTGAAACAGCGGCGAGGTACATCTGTCTTTGATTTTTAGATATGGGGGTTGGTAAATCAACGGTTTAGCCTTACTGAAGCTGCAATAGTTCTAGAGGTTACGAGAAGCCGGTAGTTGTGCAGATATCGGCTATACAAAGTCAATAACCACAAGCTAAGCTGTTGTGTATATGTAAGATTAAATATCTCTAAATTATAGAAAGGTGAAAACTCAGCTCACCAACGATAGAAGGGTATTCACGAAAAACAATGTCGTTGGCCAATCGTAAGCATGACCTGATATTTACCATCCGTAGGCCGTCCCCGAAGTTGGGTTACTACGCGGTTAGTACTTTAGAGATTAATGCGGCTGTTGACGGATTCAGGACCCGGATGCAACGTGAGGGCTTTTAGGGTGCATATCAACGTTCGGTAAGAAAGATCGATTCCGTAAGCCTTGCCATAGGTCCGGTATATAGAATCGAATTCCGAATAATTGTCTGCCCATTACAGCGTTGTGTTGTGCTTACCCGTTCAATATGATAAAAACGCGTCGCGCATGAACAACCACAAGCCATTGTAGCACAACGAATATATGGCATACATGACTTGATCGCTTTTACTCACCCTTCATGTGCCATATATTAATCCGATCTGGAATAGTAGATTGCCGGTTCTGTCAGGTACGGGTGTATTATATTATCTTAGGTTAGGTTCCTAGGTATGTTTAATAAAGTTCCGTTTCTTTTTTAGAAACATCCGTTGTAATTTATGCGGAATTATTTCAATGGGAACCCGGCGGCTACGCTCACTACCTGAGCCAATCATCACCTCCCTTACAACGGTATATCAACAATGCAAATTCCGCATCGTCAGGGAATGAAAGTTGATAGAACGTGACTTGAAGAAAACGTTGTTGACTAAAATAGCTAAAATGACCATGCGGAAAAGAAGCCTAAATTCTATTGGTAGAAAGCGAAATGCAGTGTTCAAACCTAAGGCTCTAATCCCTTCGGACGAAGACCATTTTCGAATATTGAGCAGCTGGACGAGGGGCACGTTGGCTGATGTTGGCTGATAAGTCATGACGTCAAAATGTGGATGTTTGCAGATAAAAGATAAAATGAAATAAGCTCTAGGTCCTTTCCACGATGACTATACTTACTACCTAAGGTACTAATCCTTCTCAAACTCCAATCCTTTTTTTCTTTTTTTTTCTGTTTCGGCGAGGACCGGTCGACGGTAAATTCTAGAGTAGCGGCGGAGGAAGAGACCAAAAGAGGACTGAGTTGGAATAGTAAGAGAATTCCAAGGATCGTAATAGGTTATCGGTTGCAAAACCGACTTACGGAAATTGAGCGGGCAATGGCGGGACCTCACTAATAATCGGGCGGAGAGGCAAACGGTAAGATAACTGAGCAAGTGAGCAAGTATCTAGGTACCTTATAGTGTATCTTAGGTACCTAACATAACCTAACCAAATACCTATCAGCAAGCCACAGGAAGTGCGCAACCCCACGTGATGTTACAATGCCGCGGGAATCTCCTTTACTGCCTTATACTAATCAATTATTCAAGGGTTAAAAATAACCACGGAGGCAGATCTATGCAAACGACCCCCCCAGTTACCAATCTTTTATCTCTCTCGCTAGGGAATTTGTTACGTTGATCATGCTACGCAATATCAAGCATCCCCGGCCGTAACCAAAAATGTTTTATCACATCTCTCTTAACCAAGTGAATAATCCATTGTCCATATCGAAAAAAAAGAAAACGGCAATATGATATTTCCCCTATTGTTTCTATTATCGATTATAGGAGCATAACATTTATACCGTTTCATGTAAAAGCTTATTACTTAAAATGTTTTTTTCTCGTCTAGATAATTTGCAAGGCAGCGTGCGATGTGTTGCGAGGTAAGATCTAGAACGTTACTAGAAGACTATTCTTTACCGGCACATGCCAGCTAGGCGCGAATTAGACTTGATCCTACTACCTTGAGTACTTACCTACCGAGGTGAATATAACGCGTGTCAACACGCTGATTAATCATGCCGTGGGAAAATTAAAAGGGTCATTAAAGAAAACGGCGGCGTTGGGCTAGTCGCTTGCGCTCGTACTAGTCCTTTAAGAGGCCGCGTAGGATTGTCTGGCGGTAGGTAGATCGAAATGGCACTAATGAAGCGAGGCTTCCCCCGGAAGGCTACTGCCGCTAATACCACTCACTATCTACGGCTATCTCGTGGGGAGTGGCGACAAGTTGTTTCGCTGCCCACGCTGCTCACGCTGCCCATGCCGGAGGTCTTAGTGCAATCGGCCGATAGATCACGCAAAATATATCCAGCCTCATTACCGGAGGCAAGAAAGCGGGACTAACCCCATAACTTATGCAGCCTAGATAGCTTATACACCGCCCTAGATATAGTCTATGATTTACAGAACCTATTATAAGCCTCAGTGTGCGAACATATCCGGCCAAGAAGCGACGATACCCTCATTAGCTTTCTTTTATATGTCCTAAATTTCTGCGGACAACGCTACAAACCTCTAGCCGTAGCTAAGTTGCACGGAAACCTACAAACATTAAAGATGTGCGGCAAAAGAGTAAGGGAAACTTGTAGAAGGTCTCTAAGTAGCAACACCGGCTTTCCTGAAATGTGCATAATACAAACCATGGTATATTTTCGACTTGGGTAAGTGGTTAACTAATGTAAATGCATATAAAAGGGGTTACCTCACGCTTTGAGTATTGCTTCGAGCACGCTAGTGGTTTATTAATTTAATAAATAGATTTACTAACAGAAATTAAGCAAATACAAAAGAGTATATGTTCCTATAATAGGTAATGGTTTCGAATATCCAGGTATAAGAAACTTAGGAGGTAAGGATTTAGTTATATACCTCTTTACATATAACAATAACTGGTATACGGTCAATTTAAACACTTAAGATTATTTCTTCTAATCTACGTCAATACGGAAGCTCGGGTGATTTAGGTAGAACTTCAAACTGTAAGCATAAAGCAGCTACTATACGTAGTATACGACATATGCTTGCTCACTGTATCATCCACCCTCCAGGGTTCGCCACCTTAAAAAAAGCACCCCATTTCTGCAACTGCAGAATGGCTGTGACTACGGCGGGACAATGTCTGAAGTGCCGCGGGTACACGTACGACACGATCAGGTCCATACCAGTGCAAGTGCCAGCTGAATGTTGGAGCCGATAATTCCATGCTAGCCACGTCTTTTAATCTGGGTCAGCCGCAGAGGCTAATGCAGTAGTTAGGTCTTGATACAGAAGCTGATATCCGTTTCTCTACCAGGTTCTTTAATTTTTGCATCGCACAAACAATAACCTGAAAGACACCTAATACGCGTCTAATAGCTCAGCGTTCTAATAGAATCGTGTAATATAAAATAAGGAAAAAAAAACACCTCTCTTTCCTTTGCTCTTATTAAAAACATTACCCATAAGAAGAAAAAAAACGAAGTAATAACTGCGAAGCATGGAAACGCCGGAAGTCTCTTTAGCTGGACATGTATATCCATTGTGTATCCTGAACTTCCGGCTAGGCCTTTGGAGTGTGGACTACCTACCTACGTTTAGGTACCTAGGTACCTAAAAGAAGTTTCTCAGCACGGACAAGCCTTTGAGAGGGGGGCAACTTACCAGGGGGACAGGTTTAGTAAGAGCTTCATGTACCAATACGTACCTCGACTTGTACGTACGGTACATGGGACTCGAATTGAAGGTACCTAGATCTATCAGTATCTGTTACATTTGCCCCGGACTAAAGTGTACCCAATGTTTAAGCTAGCACGTTTGTACCTTGTATTATACACTATGAACCTCTTCCACTCATTTTCCATTCCCACAATTGCGCCAACTCCTAACCTGCTAACTCCCACCTCCCACTGACCTTTTCCCACCTCTGTCCTCACCTCCCCATTCTTTTTTTTTTTTTTTTTTTTTTTTTTTTTTTTTTTTTTTTTTTTTTTTTTTTTTTTTTTTTTAAAGTGTTTGTTTATAAAGAGGTGTATTTGAAGTGGAAGAGCTAA